ACCAAACCACAAGAATGACTCACAACTCCATTAATTATAATAAGCACGGCCTATAAATCCACCGATTATTAGAAATCAAATTATAAGACGGCTAAATAAATGTCCTATTAAATCGTAATTATGGCTTAATAGATGCCCCGATCTTATGAACCGAATCCTTAGTTCCAAATCCAAGTCACGTTCTTAATTAGCTAAGAGCTTACTAAAAAATCGTGTTCTTAATTAGCTAAGAGCTTACTAAGAAATCACGTTCTCAATTAGCTAAGAACTTACTAAGAGATTTTAGCTATTCATAAGAGGGCTCTCTTAGATAAGAGATAAAATAGCCTAATAAGGCTAATTTAATTTTTATAATTTATAGTTACTAGTTAACTATTTAATATAAAAATTTAAGTCTTTATAGAATAATAATTCTTAAGTTAAAGACTTTTTTAAATCTCTTAATTACTACTTTAATTTTGAAAATTAATAATTAAAGTAATTATTAATTAAAGTAGATTTTGTTTTAAATATAAAATACTATATATAGTAATATACTATATAAAAAAGTTCTAGTATTTTTTATTTAATATATAATAACTTATATTATTAAAGAAGGTAATATATAAATAATCTTTAATTATTTAAATACGACACTCTTTTACTTGAGGAGTTGCATGCTGACTATCTAGACACACTGGCCGCATCGCAATTTCTGGCGCGCGGACGAGATATTGAGACTCGGAAAGAAAGATCCTTATTCTCGTGATCGACCATTCGATGAGCCTGTTTTGAGTCACAAATTGCTGAAGCTTGCTGGTGCGATGACATATTGACGACTGGAGGCGGAGGAAGGGCTTGTAGATTGTAAATTTGCTTTAAGAGTCAAGCTTTCGACATCCACAAGCACGTCGAACAGGGAGGGGGCCTTCATTGATATTTTTTCGTTCGTTCTCTGCTACTATTGCTGGCTACGATGCATGTTTGCAAAGCCGGCTATGGTGCAAAATGTGCACCGCCTGCAAGAATCGGTATGTATGTGCCAGAAGCTTTTGGCAGTATTATGTACTTTGTATCGTACTAACATACTGCATTCACTTTGTCATTGCAAATGCAGCAATGCCTGAGCAATTGTTCCAGTCCCAGGGTAGTCCCAAGCCGATGAACGCCAGTCAAGCAAAACGCCACATGCAATGCAAAGCAAATATCCCCCCTGAGCAAAGTCTACCACCAACGTAATTTTACCACCAAAGCAGTTCTCCCAGAGCAAGTCTGCCAAAGCACATCCATCTGTCACCAAAGCAAATACTCCCTCTAAGCAATCCCAATTCGAATACTCATATCACTCTCAGATCTCGCTCAAGAAGCCACCAGCCTTCAAGAACTGCATCTGATTCTCCCTCAAATCTGCCCAATTGCGCAGCTCTTCTTCCTCAACCTCGGCGGGATCGCGACTGTCGGTTAGTGGGCCGGGACTGATCCGTTCAAGTTTCATCAAGACGTCGAGGAACTTCTTGAGATATGCTTGTCCTCGCATAGCCATGGGACCCTTCCGATTTTCGGGCGTCTCGAGCAAGGTTGAAGCGATTTGACGAATCTTGTTGATCTGATGTATACATGTCAGTGAGGTGTGTGCTGAATTGGATTAATGACAAGTGAAATTAGACTGCTAAGAAATGGAGATAAAATGTGTAACGACTTGAGATAGAGTGGGAATGACTGTAAATGGACTGGCAAGGGGTGGATAGTGATAAGTAAAGGGCGGATATGGTCGAAAATAGACGGAAGTCGGAGGCGTAGGAAACGACAGACGTACAAAACTGGCCCCATTTGGCTCCATGTTAACCTGGCTAATGCTGCCAAGTAGCTGGAGCAGATCCTTGACGACACTCTCGCGTTCATTGGAAATGTTGATCTCGTCAGCCTTACTTGGTGACTGTTTAGGAACCATCCCATCCAGACCTATCGCAATGACACCAGGCGAGCTGAGGTTACTTCCTCCTCCCGTGCTTCTCATCATCTCTTCGTAAGCAGTCTCTAGGCTCCAATACTTTTCGACGATGAATGATCTCGTTCCAAGTTGACTTGCATAGATGTTGGCTTTTTGGATCTCGAACTGTAGTCTTCTTCTATTCTCCAAATTCTCTTGCATACCCTGCATTCCATCATTGCCGTTAGTCCGCATGCTTGTGTAGGCTGGCATTGGCGGGTAATATGATGTTGATGTTGCGAATTCACCAGCTTTTGAGCCTGGTTCAAGCATTAACTCTCTTGGAACATTGTTTAACACTCTCTTGACTGCCCGCAAACATCCTTCCATGACTTGCTTTTGCTTGTTGATGTCAAAAACAGAGTCGATACCGTACGCCAGCTCCATGGTGGCAAGGGGAGTGACCGTTTCAAAAATTTGACAGTTGAGATTGAAAGCGGTCAACTTGGAGATTGATCCTGGTGGTTGAGGCTGAATGTACTGCTCGAAGATGTACTCATCGTCGACCTCCAAGGGCAGAGGGGGATATGGTTCAGTCTTGGTTGGCGGGGGAATGAGAAGCTCGCCGAAACTGCCACCAATCTGTTGCATTGATCTTGGAATCATCAGCATTGATTATAAAGATGATGTAGGAATACTCACCTAATACCAACAAACATGACCCAGAAAACTCGGCGGCCTAATTCTTGCTTGATATAGTCAACCTTTTCTGGCGGAGGTTGTTCAAAGCCGTTCGCGCCTCCTACTGCAGCTTCGAGAGAACCCAGGGGTATGAAGTTCTGATTCTTGGCCCTGTGAGCGCCAATGACTCTCAACATCGTCAAGGTTTCTCCAAAGTACAGACGAGTCTGCTTCCATTTGAAGGTGTATGCGCCCGACAGTCCAAGGAAATAGCTTGTGATGGCATCATAGACACTGAGGCCCAGGTTGTCGAGGTAGCCCGCGCCTCTTGCCTGGGTTGCGATATTGTGGCACTTCTCAACGAAGCTAATAGAGTTCGGAAAGAGGTGTTCACTTTGCGCAGCCTTGAGATGTAATCGTGGTCTCCGAGGGAAGGAGGCAACCAATACACCAACCATTGATGCCAAAAGGGCCAGGTAGCTCGGGCTTGAAAGGTCCCGCCGATCAAGGAAAGCACTCCGAAAGGAGGGCTCGTGGGGGAACGGACATAATGGGTGAATGTATGTGAAGAAGTCATCAATCAGGAGTTCGAGGGTTGGGAGGGAGCAGATTGATTCGGCGTTGAGGACTGCGCCAGAGGAAAAGGACACAAGGGTCTCGGCGATATTGTTAGGAGAGGTTGGAGAGGACATGCTGCCAGGACCGGACGGGGACTCGAGGCGTCTCTTCTTGTTGGCTTCGTTGTTCTTGATAGCTTCTGCGTGTCGGTTGGGGGGTCCTCGTCGTCTGCTGGGTCGATTGAAGGTGCATGGGATCTCCAAGGCCGAGCAAGCTCGACAGGGAATTCCGGACTCGTCACACTGTTTGCAAATCGCGTCAGTTTTGGTCTGCTAGATTCGGACAAGGAGATGTACTACCTTTACTTTCCGGATGCTGCAGGAATCGCAAGCTTTTCGTAGACGATTTCCCTTCTGCGCATCTCCGCTCGCAGACGCGGGGGGTGGTGGGGGAATGGACTGCTGCACGTCACCATCTCCATGTCCGTTTGTATGTCCATTGCTATAGGGCGACGGGGGCTGTAGTGAAGCTGATTGAGGGTCGTACGGATACGACTGAGGAGGCGGGGGAAGGCTGTGATGAGGTGGAAGTTGGAGGTCGTTGGTTGTCGGACTGTGGATGCTCTGGTAGCCGTGCGGCGACGACGTGTAGGCCGACATTGTTATTGCTGGAAGCTCTCCTCTTGATGCTGAGTGGAGGGTTCGGCGACAGTTCGGGAGAAGGATTGTGCTGGCAACAGCGTGCCGGTGTTGTTGGGGGGTAAACTCTGAATATAAAGCGCCGGCGACGCGGCAACAGAGTCTGGGGAAGGGAGTTGATAATTTTTTGGGATCTTGAAGATGACGCGACTGCGACTGCGACTGCGACTTCCGCCATGCAATCCTGCCCTGCCCTGCACGCTCTCTGACGCACTGCGGCCCTTCCCCTCTTGCTTCGGCGGTATTCGAGAAAAGATCTGGGGCAAGGGTCAGGAGCAAAGCAAGTGCAAGGTGTTCCTGACTCCCAAGCAAGAGGCCCGTCGAAATCTAGAGTGGTGGGGTGGTGACGAGGGGGACAAGGCGATGTTTTTTGGTGGCGGGGCTTGAAGGAAGGGGGGGAGGAAAGGGAGGACTTCACATAACTTCACTTCACTCCACGTCACTTCACTTCAAGCAGTCGCCTCAACTTCGAAGGGCAGGGAGTATTCGCTTCCTCTGTAATTATGAAGGTGAAGGTAATGCTTCCTCTAAAATTATTAAGCTAAAGGCGAACCAGTTCTATCTAGAACCCAACGAGAAAGGACAAGAGGACCTGCTTGCCCGGAATTCATTAGCAACACCACACCATCATCACATTTCCTCAGGAGGTGGAGCCGAGTCAAACAAGCAGAAGGGGCTGTAAATGCAGTGCTTCTGTGGTTCACCTTGCGACGGTCCGCTCAGGCAAAGTGCATGGTCGCCAGCGCCGGCAGACGGCGTTTGCAGGAGCGGATTTAGAGTTTACTGTTACAGGCTGCATGACTAGAGAGCATGAAGCATGAAACAGGTAACATGAGGCCGGGAAATCATCCTCGACAAACTCCTGCTCCCAAGGCCACGAGCCACAGCCACAGCCACGTTCAAGCCCAAGAGGGCCACGAGTCATGCCTTCGTGAAGGTCCATTATGTTGAAGTTTCAATATCTGGCATATCAAGGACATCGAAGTTGAGAAAGATCTAGCCGGAAGAGATAGAGGGTTGGGACAAACGAACCTCTTCCGTTTGATAACAGTCATAATTGCATAAGAACATTTCTGTACCTGTCTGACTTGCTCGACATGTCCATCTCCAATGTCTTCTATCGTCATTCCTTCTCGCTGGGTCTCACTGTGATTAGTATTGCTGTTGATTCTTGAATTTCAGCGGCGGTGGCTGCGGCGGCGGCCCACCAGCCTCGAGTTGTACCTCTAGAACATGCAAAGAAGAAAACTGTCAGATCTGCTAAGACACGGGCCGCACCCCGACCAGACCTGGAGCCACATCGCGATAACCCTTTTCCTATCAAGTTGCGATGCTCTACGCTTTCGATTTTTGGGCTGAGGCAGGAGAGACGTCAAATCCAGGGTGATGCCGGCGGTCGCCGTCACTTACCGAGCCATGCCCGGCGGGCAACAAAGTAGAAGAAGCTTTTCTCTGAGCATGATTATTTCCCAAGCTGGGATAGTTCCGTGGATTCAGGGATTTTGGGGATGCTTGACTTCAGATGGTGTGGAAGGTCCTGAATCGTGTCCACGACTCCACGTTTTGATCTCTAGGTCATCTTTTTTCTGCAACCGCGATCGCAGAGTCCCCATACACTTGATTGTCATCTCAAGAACTCGACTATTCGATAAAGGACCAGATGCAATTACTTCTATGCTATGTGTCTACTCTAGTCGAGTGGATGCGATACATGTTGCTAGCGCGCGAAATACCCAGATGCAATTCCCCACCCAATGCAAATGCTAAGTCACAATACCCACGAACCCCTCAAACTTTCGCCATCAATTTCGTACTTCTTGTGTATCTCGACGCAATTAGAAGACAGCATCCAACAAACATCACCATGCCGGCGAAGATCTGGCCATATTCATACTCTCCTCCTTTTCTCTGGATCAGCTCTCCAGCGATCGGTGGCCCAGTCAATGTTGCGAAGCTCAAGATAGTAAATACCATACCCATTCTCGTCCCAGCCATTCTCAAGTCCGTCGTCAAATTGGAAAGAGCCGTTGGGAAAAGACTCTGGATTGCAGCCCCGACGATCCCATAAATGCACGCCCAGGCATACAGCCCTCCCTTTGAGGTGACGCCAATCCAGCAAAACAAACAGAGCGAATTTATGGCCACGATCGGTATCAGGGAATTGTGCGGCCCGATCCAATCAGCAATGAGTCCTGGACCTATGCGGCCCACAACTCCCATACTGTTGAGCACGATCAAAAGGTTGACAGATTCCGTGTATGGGAGGTGGATGATTGATCGTCCGAAGGAGCCAAGGTAGAAGTAGGCAAAGTATGCACCCCAAAACACCTTCCCCCTATTAGTACATGTCAACATCCAATACAGCTTTCACTTACAAAAAACATCCCGGCGGCAAACAAAGAGTAAGTGGCCTCCTTAAAGCTCTTCCAATCCACCACCGCCCCGGCTTTCCTTGGCGGCATCCTCGTCTTCATCAGTAAATTACAGAACACCAAGCACCCTAATTGGATGAATGCCAGGCTCCTCATCGTCCACGCAAACCCAACTCTGGGAAGCAACTGCTGCACCATAGCCGAGAACACCATGCCCCCCGTCGCTGACCCCGTTGCCGCAAGCCCAATCGCCAACCCCCTCTTCTTCGAAAAATACGTACTTAACAAACTCAATGCTGGACAAAAAAGACAGCCATTCCCCAGCCCACAGCACACACCCTGAGCCAGGAACAGCTGCCAGTACGTCGTGCTCAACGATGCCATGAACAGTCCGACGACGCCGAGAATCGAGCCGGTCAAGAAGACGATGCGGAAGTATCCGGCATCTGTGAGACGCCCGGTGAAAGTCCCGATGAAGAAGAGTAGGAAGATTTGCATGGTGCCGATCCAGGAGATTGTGGAAGGGGAGTCGTGGAGGGAAGCAACGTAGTAGGATTGAAAAACGCCGAAACTGTTAATGAAGCCCCAGGTGTTCATTACTGCTAGGTGGGCCATTGCGGCTGGAGAAAATTATCGAAGTCAGCACCAGAACATAACTACCTGCGAGCTGGAAGAAGAGTGAAGATCATAGCAGAAGGAAGAGAACGAACCTTGGATCCAAGCCTCCCTTCCTCCATCAGGAGGGGGCCCAGGATCCTTCCAACTGCTCTTCGTACTTGTCCTTGTCCTTGCACCATTTTTCTGTCTCTGCTCTTCATCTTGTGTTTCGTCAAATACAGGGTAGACTTCGATGCCGTCTTCCTCCCTCAACACCCCCTTTCCATTTATCTCCTCCCGAATTTCATCATCTTCGATAATGGTAGACGAAGAGTGGGCGGACTGGATTTCGATATCCTTTTCGAAAGCATCCTCGCTGTTGTTGATATTTTTCACCATGATCCCACTCTTGACCTTCGGCAAAATGTGGACGAAGAAACACTCGAGGTCTATACTTTTGGCAACTCAAAAGTCAGGCAGCCACGGGACATATACCTTCGGGAGTGAGACGGAAAGCTTTTCGAGATTTATTTCCGTATCTCCAACACAACCCGTGCCACTCCCACACATGTGTTTGGTGAGCAGTGTGGGAAATGAGTAGAGTAGAGTAGAGTAGTGGGCCCTACTCATATTCTACTCAAATAAATTTCTCACTACTCATACTCTACTCAATACTCTACTCAACTACTCTAGAATATTCTAGAGTAGTTGAGTAGTATGCACGTGATACTACACGTGATGTTACACGTGACACACTAGCCTAATTAGGTAAGGCTCCGGGGTAGCCCGAGTCTAGCGCCACTGCACTGCCCAATTAAGTAGTGGCAAGGCTTAGTAAGCAAGCTAGAACCTTAATATATTCATAGGCTTTCTTAGCTATTAAGGGCAAACTCTTCTCTCAAGGTACTCTTATTATTTAAATTATATAATAGACTTAATAAGAGTACTATTAAGATAATATCTTACTTAAAAAGCTGGGGGCTATTTAAAGACGAATTAGAAGAAGTAAAAGGAGAAGAAAAAAAGCAGGAAAAGAAAGATTTCGAAGAGGGAAATCTGGTTTTTATAGAAGAAAAATGGTATTTAAGTAGCCTTATATAAGCTCTAGCTTAAATTATATAGTGCTACTTAATATGTACCTTATTTATTTATTAATAATTAAATAAATATCGATTTATTATATTTACGTGACTTGCACGTGACTACTCTTGAGTTACTCTAGAGTAGTACTCTACTCTACTCTACTCAAGTACCATATTACGCTACTCAAACTCTACTCTACTCTACTCAAGACTACTATAGAGTAGCTTGAGTAGCTTGAGTAGTTTTTGCCCACACTGTTGGTGAGTCACAAAAATTGAAAAGAATTGCCAAGCATGAAATTTGAGTGTTGAGTAATCGGGTCCTGCATCCGCGGAGGCAATGAAACAGGCAACCCGTGGAGGTGGAATGAGAAAGGCGAAAAGAACTCAGCTCAACGGCAAGGAAATAAAATCGAACAGATTGGCAGATTGCATTATTAGTGAAGGGCGTGTCGATCACTTTCTGCCTCTCGGTTCTTGCTTTTTGAAATTTTGAGGCCTTAACATTGATTTGCTGACTTAATTTTCGGGGAACAAAGTCCGCTGCCGGTCCTGATTTCCTCTGGAGGTTAGGAGCAATTGCTGATTGCTAATTAGCCTATTGAATTGAGTAATAGAAACGGGCAACGTGCTTGGGGTGCGGTGTCCAGCGGCTGCTGCTTTCGTCTTAAAGAAGTACAGGCTTTTGATTCGGTGTTTGCGGTGGTCCAGGGATTGAACAGAGAGGGGTTGTTGCCGAGGTTGGGGCCACGCCGTTTTCGCTCAGAGGGGGATTTTGAGTGGTAATCACATCATGGCACAAGAAGACTCAGGCAACTTCAGCATTTGTCCGTTCTGGGTGAGCAAATCATTTCATTTCTCTTGAACTTTCCTCCGCGGGTGGTTTGCTTGTGCCATTGAGTTCGTGGCGAGAAAGCTACTTGAACTTCCGGCTCGATACTTTTGTCTTTGAGAGTCAAGGGCTTCCGAGATTCACTTCAGCTTGCAATGATAAGCACAAGTTGCATAGAAAAGACGGAAGATTGGAGTACAGGTATTTCTGCATGACTTTGAGCTACGTTAGCTAGCCATTCTCCTTGGTATACCCATCCGAACGCCTTTCATAAAAACCAAAACCGGACTTAAAGTTCCCGTTACAGCTACTTTATAGCTGGCACCCACCTCATAACTTACTACTCTCCTTAACACAGCACAACTCACCCCCTTTCTCCACAACCCCCTCCCCGGCCTCCTGCCCATGGTTTACACTCGCCAGCACGCTCTTATTAAAGCTCTGCACACTCTGCGGCACATCCAGCGCTGGATTCTTCTCAAAGAAATTCACCGGCTTCAGCGCAACCTTCAAAATCTCACACGGCATCACGGGGAAATCCTCGATCCGCGGAACGTGGTTGATCCCAAACTGGACCCAGACAACAATGTCATCATCCAGTACGTTATCCTTGCGATCAGCCCAGCTCCGCACACCGGTTCCGCCGCGAGATTGGTTGGTGTATTTTCCACCGGCGTAGAGCTCGTCGTCTTTATAGGACGTCACGTAGATATTGTGGTCTGCGAACTCGGCGCGCTTGAAATGGAAGCTGTCTTTATCGGCCAACATCTTCTGGAACGGCGGTGCCATGATCTTGTATGCTACCGGCTTGCCGTTGATAGGGTTCTTCACGCCAGCGTTCTGAATCTTGAAGATTCGATTGACGTCCCAGTTCTGGTCCAGCCCGCAGGATGTCGTGACGGGTGTTTCGCTCACGGTGTATCCAACACCATGAGGGTTGAAGTCAGAGCGTGGCATGGGGTGTGCTTCGTCGTAGACGACACGGTTTATGGGGCCGTCGATCATCGGGTCGATGCGAAGGGAGAAGATGTGTTGGTGGTGGGCTGCAAGAACGCCTGGGTGGACGACGGTTCCCCATGGGACTGTGATGCCTTCATCGATGGGCTGAGTAGAGAGAATACCGGTTGCTCGAACCTCATACATCACTTCTCCGGCCTGATTGAATTGGAAAGCGAGAATATACTCGTAGTTTGAGACTGTGATGATTGATTGCAAGACCAGCTCTCGGTTTCGGACTACGGCTGCTCGACCAGTGCGGTAGTTTGTGTGCTTCCAACCAATACCAGCATCTTGCTCGTGGATGCAGACGCAGTTGGGCATGTGGAGTGGCTCTCCCTTGTCGTCGTTCAAGATTGCTGAGAGGTAGTGGATGGATCCAAGGCAATCACATCCCAATTGGAGGTTGTTGGCCATGATACCTGCTCCTGCGTCGCCAAGATCGAAGGCAGCCTTCTTGTGGTATGGGTGGCGAGGATCGGCGTATGGGATGTTCATATCGGAAAGAGAAAGTCGATAGAAAAGTGGTCGACCGTCGTAGTGAACGTCGTAGAGAACCATTCCTTCTCGTAGGTTGAAGCCGACCTTGAAATCCCACTTCTGCCATGCGATTTCGTGGCCTTGTTCACTGAAATTCTTGACGGTGAACGAGGCACCCTCTGGCTGAATCACGTTCAATGGCTTAATATCGGTTCGCAGTGTTTGGGCCTCTGGGATGTATTCGTTTGGTGGGTGGGCTTTGTATGGGGATGGCTCCCTGATGGTGTTATCAACACCTGTTGGCAGGATATCTATTCTGGTGACCGTCATAGTCTCCGCGCTGACGACAGGAGAAATAGTGAGTGGCATAGCATAATGGTTTCCATCAGCCTCGGAAGCATTGTTCGGGTCTCGAATGTACAGGAAGCATTGGAACATGCGTTTGGCATCGGTGAAAAGCCCGTCGTCGATTCCATCGGATCCTGCCAAATTGTCAGGGGAAGAACCCAGATTGATCGTTGCACAACTTACCGTAAATCCAAGGGTCACTGATTAAAACCGTCCCTTCAGGAAGTTGAAGTTTGGCAATCTCAGCCTGCACCTTTTCATCTTCCAATGCAATCTTCTCGACTTTGACAATCTCGTCGCCATCGGCGGGGCTGTGGACGTATGGGCCGAGCCGAAGGTTACTTTCAACCTTTCCGAGGCTCAAATTGACAATGGCTTCGTGGAGTTTATCCTGAGGGTTGATCAGCGAGGAAGACCACTGGGCGGTCCCACGCAAACTTACGGTATTGCGGATGTAGTAAAGTACAAAGCTCTTCCTCTCGACAGTGGGGGTACGTCTCCCTGAATGCTCAGCAGCCAAAAAAGGAAGAAGCTGTGCCTTCTTCGGCTCTTGCAAGGTGATGCTTTTGAAGTGAACGTTGGTGTTGGATGGCCATGATCCCTTGATTAGCCGTGCGCTCTCTGATATCTCAGCGGCAGTCAAAGGGCCAAGAGGATGTTGAGGAATCACTGTCCTCTTGGCAAGGGAGACGAGGACTTGCTCGGTGGACATACTGGAGATGCTGTGGCGTGAACGAAACAAAATGAATGAAGCAACAATGACTTGAAGAAGAAGCGGGATAGAGGGTCTGGTAAGGTCATTTATATGCTTCCGCGCAAGTGCCAAACGCTTGTTCAAGGATGTAGGATTATTACTATGCCATTATTGGGCATCTCGATTCACTTTTTCTTAGAAACTTCTTATCGTCGAGACGTTGGCCCCACCTTGGCTTTCCTCTCGCATAGGCCTTCCATATCCAGCAACGCGGGGAAGCTTGCATCGACTCACAATGGCTGGACGGCATGGCTCCAGAACATGGCAATTGGTTGAGAATGGTGAATTGGAGCTATCCTCCCACGCTTGACAATTTGACATACAGCTCAGTGTATCCATGACATGCGGACCGGAGCAATCAGCTGAGGTAGCAATTGTGCACCGGAGTTCAGACTGTGAAGTTGTTCAAGAAGTGAAGTCGATGACGTTGCGTGAAAAGTGGGGGTGAACGTTGAGATTTTGCCTGCAGCGGGAGTTTTCCCCCTTTTTGGCTCGCCCAGCGAATCACGTGCAAAAGCACTATTCAACAACTCTGATCTTTAAAGTGGGATATTCGGGAGTTGAGGAGTGACAGAGTGTAAGTGTAGTTGACTTGAAGACTACTGATCAGGAACTGTATTTGATACCCTTTCAACCAGTTGCTTCCGCAGGTTTTGGTTAGCTTGAGAAGCCGAGGCATGCCCGGCCCCTGAATCTTTTTTAATGTCTTCTTCAACCAGCTCCGGCTCACACAAATCCATCATCCGCAACAAAGTCTGGTCACAACTCCGTCAAGTGGCAATCCCGGATCCACGCTTCCATTACAACTACTCCTCCTTCATCGCAGACTTTGGCGGCTCCTCTACAGCGACCGACCTCCTTACCTCCCTTCCTGCGTACAAAAATGCCGAAATCCTCTTCGTCGCCCCAGACAATTGCATACAAGAGCTCAGGCATCGTGCGCTGATAGATGGCAAAACTGTGCTGGTCACTACATATGGCATACGGAGGGGTTTCTGGCTGCTGGATCCTCGAGGGATCCTCGAGAAGAAATGGGAGATTGCAAGCATGCTTGATGGTATGGAGAGGGTCGGGCGGCATGTCAGCTTGGCCGAGATCAAGAGTTTGCTGAAAAAGATTGATCTGATGGTCACTGGCACCGGTGCTATCAATTATCAGGGTCTGCGGTTCGGGAAAGGTCATGGATTCTTCGACTTGGAATGGGCCATGCTCTATTCAATAGGGGTCATTGATGGGATTACACAGACCGTTGCCCTGGCACATGAATGCCAGGTTCTGGATGAAGAACTCGTGGGCGAGGAATGGGATACTGGATGCGACTTCATTGTCACCAATCAGAGAGTCATCGAGGTCAATCGGGCCAGCAAGCCAAGTTGCGGAATACTTTGGCACAATTTGCAGAGTGAGATGTTGGCAGACATCGAGCCTCTGAGGGAGTTGAAGGACATGCAGTATGGCAGAGAATAACTTTAGTCTCGATAAGCTGGCTGTAGGCGGAGGCAGTGGCACACTCGTGAGTGGCTATCGCAGCTCTCGAGTTCACCAGTCTAGACCAGATTTCTTTGACGTGACCGTACTGTTGATTCAATTCATGGTCACCGAAGCCCTTATCGGTCAACTACAACCTCTTCGTATCTCTTACTTTGATCTTCATTCCACTGTCTTCCTCCCTCAACTCTATGCTGTGGAACCTGTAATTTTGGTAATACTTTGCCTCTGTCTTCTCCGCGATTGGTCAATTCGAAGCCACTCGCAGTGCAGTGGTTTATATAAGCAATAGGGGTGTTCACAGCCTGACAACCTCCGTTTCCGTTCTGTCGTTCTCTCGTTCTCCTCCGTCAAAACCGTGAAACCCCTCAAAGACGGCACCTGTTTGTTTCCTGCATCGACACCTTCCACAACTTACCAGCCCTAAAACACGGTCGTATCGGCCGCCGAAGTGTGGAGACGTTAAAGAAGCTCGTCGGGCTCAGCCTTACCGACGTTCTAGCCAAGACAAACCCATTCTTAGGGACATTATGCCATCACCACGCTCGTCGCCGTCTTCACCTCTTGCTCTCTGGTATCTCCTAAGGTTATTCGATCTTGATTATCAAAATGCGCTTTCTTAGCAGTAGCACCTTGCGGTTCGAGCAATCCTCATAGTCCAGGAACATACCGTGCCCGCCTTCGTTGCGCCGCCGGGATTTCCCAGGAGAAAATCATCTTTATCGTCGTACTCGCCCGGTGATGAAACGAGTATGAATATGTTCGCGTGAGAGATCCTCGGGATGTTAGCAGAGGAGTGTGTCTGAGCCCGAGGCTCGATGTCGACAAACAGCAGTTCAGCTCCCCTGGGCCCCAAATGAATCCCCTATGTCCATCTTCTATGGGTTTTGACTTCGCACTCTCCAGCCTATAGGTTATAATCAAACATACATCACGATTTTGTCTAATTGCACAAGCTCCGAGCCGGACTATATATGTCAACAGAATAAAGCTCAGGGTAACACTGGCAATGTTTCCATAGAACCTGGAAGAAGCTCAGAGAGTTCAAACTTATCGGGCATCCGCAGAATCAAGTTCGTCTTTGATAAGAGTTTCAACCCTGTCCTCTGGCTTGCCACACAGGAGCATTCCACACGACTGAAGGAACCATTCGAGAGAGCTCTCGTATCCAAGGTGCCTGAAACCCTGCCTCAAGAACACAAAGAAGCCTTGAATGGGGATCTACCAAGAAGTACCCGAGGGGGATTTGCAGGGTCCTACATAACTCGCTGGTTGGAAAACAAACCAGACGCAGTTACCGTGAGAGTTGGGCAAAGAAAGGGCTCGAGCGGCTTAAGATTGACGAGCTGGGCCTGGAGATCTTAGTTCAACTGCATCCTAATCACAAATTCACAATCCATCCACTCTCGCTCGTCAACCCACAGACGAAAGTGGATTAAGATCGGAACCGATTCGGGTCTGCGTCGTGGACTCGTGGACATTACTCAGCAACTCTTGTTCGAGTCAATTTCAATATTATCCTTATGCGATATATGTCTATTTCTGGCATGCCGTCCCTGCATTGTGCTTGTTGGACTTTGTCGCAATAGGAAGTCATGGAAGCTGTAGAGGCCTAGGGGGAGGTGACTTTAGCGGAAGCAGCGGAACCTGGTGACCTAGCACCAGCCGCGGGAGGGGATGCTCGGACGTCTAACGGTCGAAGATCGGAAGGAAGATAAGAACAAAATCGAGGTGGAGATACTATCCATATAGAAAGATTAAGAATTAAATGACAATATTAACCCAAACAAGCTTCCTCAAATGAAAAGGATAAACGTGAGTTAAAGGCAATGAAAGAATAACAAGGAGTTGAAATTGTTCATTTTCGAGGTATGGAGTAGCAGTGGTTTACTTTCAAGCAGCATCATTGTGTGCAAAAAAGGAGTATTGGTTAGTAGTCGCTATCGTGATTGGTCAGTATGCGAAGAAATTAATCACATTAATCAAATTCATTATGAATATTCATGAATAAGTTAATTAGAATATAATTAATCCAATACTTAATTTTTTGTTTAGAATTAGAATGTGATTAATGAAAAAATTTCATGAATAGATTAGATCAATAGCTATTAATCTAATCTAATCTATTTATTTCTCACGCTGTGATTGGTGAACGCTTGGGAGATATATGAACTTGATTCTCACTACAAAGACTTACTTTTTGCGTCCGTCCGTTACCCAATTACTACTCCTCGATGCATTCTGCATCTTTCCATTTCTTGAAGTCTGAGGCATGTGTTGATCTAGAGAAGTGATAACATACCGTCTAGATTATAATGAGCCAAACTGCGAAGTCTAAACTGGTGAAAATTATATGCCTTGTTGAGAGTACATTGTTTGTTTTCTACTTGTGTAGAGGTTTTACTGGAGAGAGGCACAGCAATCGAGATTGTCGCCCCCACAATACGCTGTATGGATTCCATTGGTTCAATCGCGTAGGCTTTGACATATAGAGGCTAATGCATGACGGATTTTCGCATGTAAGCTAGGGAAGGAAGTAAGGAACAAGTCCAATTAACCGGCCCTCTGGCGGACATCCCCACCACCCCCGCACCTCTTGATTCCGCCATCTACGGTCTCAATCTCACTTTAAAATCCAACCGCGGACCAAGAAATCTCTCATCTTGACAACCACCTTCAAGGGAGAATCGAGCTTCAGATCAACATTTCGAGATGACGATCATTTACGCAGCTGCCACAGCACCGGTGAACTCACCCGGGGTCTCCCCAGTTATTACAATGAAGCAACTTTGGGCAGGCTTGGAGCTGAAAGTTCGGTATGTTTCCTCAAGTCATTTCATGTTCATTACGATGCTTTAGTATATCAAGTACCATCACGAGCAATGCTGAGTCACTTTAGTAAGCCACAACTCTTCTTGGCCGTTATCGATACCTGCGATGTGCTGGAAGACGATGGCGAAACTGTCTTGCGCGAAGTCAAGTTCAAGGACGGTAATTCATGACCTTTATTTTGTGATCTCGAACTAACTCTATCAGGCGGCGGAGTAGGCATGGCCCCAGTAATCGGTCCAAAAGTCCAAGAAAAGATTACAAGCATCGCCCCCATCTCAGTACATTTCCTCTTCCCTGTTGCAACTTACCTAACCACGAATAGGACAACGCTGGCTCCGGAGTTGAAACCTTTCAGTCAATGGGAAATGCCAGTAAGGTTCTGAACATCGTTTCCTCTGGCATGGATGGCGAATTGCTTCTCACATTTACTTTTGAGTGGGAGCATAAGGAGATCGAGGAGGGGAGTGAGGAGGCGGTGAAGAAGCAGAACCAGTATCAGGAGACTGCGCCGAGGGGCGTAGCGGGGACAATTAGTGCAATCAGGCAGATGGTGAAAGATGGGAAGCTTTGAAGGGCCAGAAGTGGGAAGCATTCAAAATATAATGAAGGGAACGGAAATCTATGACGTTAAGTTAAGAATACCATTTCTTCTAAACAAAAAGCGCAGCTCGGATCGAGAGTCTCTAAAGCCTCACTTATGCTCAGAACCCAAGAGCAACGAACGACTCCTTCGAAAAGTCCCCGTCATCCTGAAGGGCACCTTCGATAGCAGGAATCCACGGGACACGGCTTCTCGTAAAGATTTCAATCTTAGGAACATAAACAGTTGACGGGTCCTCCTCGCTATCAATACACCCCGCCTTGATCACAATCGTGCCCGGAAACCCCGTGCTATGGCGATACAGGAGACTCCCGCATTGTGAACACGAGTGGTTGTAGATTGTATTCCCGCTTTGAACGATCTTCCCCCAGACGGAGAGTTTGCCGGATTTGATAGTGGGTGCTTCAATGGGAACGAGAATGTTGAGGGCGAAGGCTGCACCGGTGAGCTTGCGCTCGTCGAGGCAGTGACAGCGGAAGTTGAAGGCGGATGGTGCGTCCCAGGTGATAACGTTGGCGCCGCAGAGACAGGATGATTGAGGCATGTTGCAGTTGGGTTGTAGCTAATATCGTGTTCGAGTAAATTTGTTAAATTCGTATTGTTGATGATATTATTGGGCGGCGTGAAGATTACGTACGGCTTGCAAGATGACGATGTGCAAACACTGAGATGCTAATGAGGGGGAAAGAGATTTGTGAGGACTTCCCCGATGTTATATACTGGTCTGCACTCTATATTTTTACGGGCCTTGGATCACAATCCGTGAAGAAAGGCACCTCAGGAAAGGCGAGTTCTCTGGAGCCAGTAATCACTCGATCGAGAAAAACTAACCTAATGCGGGAAATCATTTTGAGGGCTTGAAAGTGAGAGCGATAGAAAGAATTGAAAAGGACCGCGAAAAGGGATGACAAACACGCCACTGCGCTAGTGAGGTGCAGGTCGCGATCACTAATTGCGCTCTCGAATGCAGATAGATTCCAAATCATGACGCTCTCGAAATCCTAAAAAAAAGAGTAGGCTAATGTTTTGACTCACGTGATGCCGTTCTCTACCTGGGGAGAGTCAGGGCAAGACACATTCTTGAGAGCTGGAGTCTTGGTGCAAATCATCGAAACTTTATTCATTTTGGAAATCTAACCCGTTTATGGCCGCCATTGAATGCGGGAATACGAAGAACCAGTTCTGAAATGACTCGAAAAGATTGAACGGTGGTTATCGTTTCCCCAATGCATGTGTACTTCTCAATTCCAGTTGGCGATTCGGGCCGGCCATGCAAAATCATTGCATTCCAAACAAACACTCCTATGCAACAGTCGCCCCCGAATCCTCTGCCTTTGCATTCGGAAAGTAGTATGCTCCAGCAGCAATAATGACGTAGACGATAAGGCAGAGCGCTCCTTCGAGGTAGTTTGACTTCTGATCCCTCAGGAAGTTTCCAACGACAAGAATGGCGAGAATTAGCACGATGATATTAAAAACGTCGAATTGCAGGTTCATAGACTTCCCAAGGCCCCAACCAACAATGACAACGAGTGGAGCATTGAATAGTGCCGTCTGGATTGTGGCCCCGAGTACGTGGGACAGAGCAAAGTTCATTTGGTCATCCCATGCCTCATCTACTGCTGTGAGGTGCTCCGCTGCCTTTTCAACCAAAGGGACAAGGATCAGCCCCATGAAGGCTTCCGAGACGTGGCGAGATTCGACAATAGAGGGTATCTCCTGCACGAGGCCGATTGCTATGATTGTGACCAGAGCAACGGATACCGTGAGTGCCACGATACATTCTGTAAAGGTGAGCTTGGGTTTCACTAAGTCGATATGGCGGTCTTTGTCTTTGTGCTCGTCGCCTTCCAAAATTGCATCGAATATGCCATGGTGAGAGTGGGCCTGGAACCAAATGTAGATGAGATATGCGATCATGAGGAAGATGGAAGCGACTCGAGAGAGCTTTGTGACTTTGTCGTGAAGTTCATCCGGTGTTGCGAGACCCGTGCCGTTCACTGCAACGAAGAAAGCCGTCGGGACAGATAGACCGAGTCCACTATGGTTTTGTCAGTGGAATTAAGAGATCTCATATTGCACGCGGTCTTACGCTGTGAGAAGCAATCCGCTTCCGACCTCACTGACTACCTCGTCGAACTCCTGCTCTGGATGCCGAATTCCTCCAGCAACGAAACACATCCCTAGACAAAGGAGGAGTGTAGCAAGAATGGAACCCAGTACTGCCGCCTGGATGACTGGAAACTGGTCATGCTTCAAGAGGACCATGAAGAGGACAATCTCGACCACAGATCCAAGTGTTGTTTCCAGCAATATGCCAAACACTTTGGGCAGCTTCCTAGCCAACTCCTGTCCAGCAAAGCCAATTAGATTAGCACATGGAACCATTGCGATATAGTTAAGTATGAATATTGCCAGATGGAGATCCTTTCGGGCATATCGAAGGGCGATGGCGGCTGGCACGAGGGGCCACAGGAGGTTGACCGCACGCGAGGCATCGCTCGTCGAAGACCAGCAGATCTTGAAGAAATGAAGCGGATGTATTCCTCTCCTGCCACTCTCACCCTTTCGCGGGTCAGCATTACTCTGGCAAGTTCAGGAGCTTGACGAACCTCTGGAGCTATGTGCTTCGTGACCTTGTGGCCATTGTGATTCACTCGGTGAGTGGGGAGGATACTGGCCTTCTCGTGTGCGGGATGAACATCGGCAGGTTTGGCAGGGCTGCCAGAGGGAGTAAGTTCGATATCCTGTGATTGAGGATCGCTCGTTGAAGTATTCTTGTTTCGCTGGAAGAGGGTACCCATTTTTGCGGTAGTTCGCGTTTGCTATTTTGGGTCGGTTCGTTGGCCGTAATAGTAAGGTTAGTCGATCTCGGCCCGGGGGTTCAATGGGCGTCGACGTCGTCTGAAGATGTGTTTCTTCTTTACCTTTCGAGTGAAGGGCTTCTTGCTGCAATTAAGGAGAGACTGATATGCCAACGCATTCACTGTTCATATTTCTTGTTTTCGCGCCAGTCAGCGGTGCTAAAACATGCCAAGACGCTTGAGGATCTTGGCTTTCTGCGCCACGGAAACACCTGACGAGCGCATTTGATGCGTTGGCCTGGGTTTCTTCCGGTGAGACAACTGAAGCAAATCTCATTTCCGATCGTCTGTTCATCAGTTTAAGAGACAAGACAAACCAGGGACTCTGGCACCAGATCTTTGATCTCAGTCATTCTATCCTGCCGCAACAAAAGTTTGCCAACGACGACTGTTTTTGTTTGTGCTTAGTTAGATTCAGATTTGTGCACTAAGGAGAATGATTGCAATGCGGGCATCCCTTATATTACACGAGGTAACCACAGGTGATAAAAACCTTAGTCGATTCCATTTGCTCGCCGATTTTAATACAGTCTTCTCTAGTAGAAACATTAAATGCTAAGGTTCATATCTTTATAATAGCTCAATTGCGCATAAATCTAAGCTGCTGTGGCTCATTCTCTCAACGGTACCAATGCTGCAACATCGTCATTTCTTTAGACGTGTCTCTAGCATGGAAGTCGTACCAACACCCGAAGGATATACTTTCATCAGCTCCAGTCCAACTTCGTTGAAAAGATCCGTGAACTCGCTCAACGTCTTCTCCTTGCCACTAAGGAGAAGCAAGGAGAAATCCAACCAATACAGCTGCAGCGGCCCGCCAACTTCAACCATCTCAGGGACAATCATGTCGCAAATGATCAAGCGCGAGTCAGAAGAAAACAGAACCCATAGCCGGCACAATATTCTTCAGAATCTCCAAACAAACAGGATTATAGAAGTCGTGGAGAAGTCGGCGCAGGAAATACACGTGTGCATCTGAATTTGCTTATATTAGGTTTGGTCTAGATGGAGTGTATATTGAAGATAGACTTACTCTTGACAGGTTGTAGAGTGAAAATATCGTGAACTGTTGGCTCGATACCAGGAAGATCCTCCGATTTCAAGGAATCGATGACAATAGGCAAGTCCTCCAAGATTACATTTCCCCCAAAGAACTTAGGGCACTCTGTCTCAATCGCTAACATAGCCTGCCCCTTGCCACCTCCCACATCGACAATAAACGGCCGCTCAGGCTCCTTCTCAACTTGGTCCTTAAGCGTCGCGAATGGAAACATCCCAAGAATGGGCATATTAGCCTCCATCTGCTGCCAGGCTTGGCAAAAATACTTTTGGTATTAATACGGTATTAATACTGGATGGTATTACTTAGGTATCGCAAGGATCAATACGTATTAATACCGAATCGATACTTAGTGTGACGGCGCTGGCTGGGGGCCAAAGGGGGGTGGCTATCACATGACTGGTTTCACCTAGCTAGCCGGCGTTTCAGTGGTTTTAGCTAGTATTTCCCTCCTTTTATCCCCTTTCCTTCTCTCTCTCTCTCCTTCTTCTCTTTAGCTTAGTATTTTCAATATATGAGATTCTTGGATCTTTGAGCCCTGGCCATTGCCTCGATCCCGCCGTCACACTTAGCCTTAAATTATCTCTTCTATTTATTATTTAATTTATATTAAAGAGGGGCATATAGGAACACTAAAATATATATTGAGAACTGGAATACTCGGGATACTATCTTTATAAGAAGGAGGGAAGGAGAGAAGGAGATATATATATATATATATATATATATATATATATGGGGGTAGTAAATAGCCGAGAGCACGTGGCCCAACCACGTAAGCATTACCTAATTCCCTACTATAATATAATAATATATTTATATATAATTTCTTTATTCTCTAGTCTTTCTATTAAAGGAATTACTTAATATTATTAATAAAAGTTAATATTATCTTAATTTTAAAATAGCCCTCGTATTCGGAGAATTTAGTATTATATTCATATCTCTTATTAGAACGCTTATTATAAGCGAGCCTTACGAAAATCTCAAAAGCTATTTTTTGCTTAAAATAGCCGTATTGAGACAAGTTTTAGTCTAAACTATAAGATAAGTAGCTAAATAGAAAGCCTAAATTAAGTAGAATATTTGTGCTATTAAAAGTTTTCTTATATGGGAAGTGGTTCTAAAGTTAATTGTAATTAAAGGGGGGAATTTGGTTCCGGGAATTAATACTTTATTAATAGTATTAATACCTTACGATTCTGGCATCGATACCTATCGATACCAGAAATTAGGTATTTCTGCCAAGCCTGTCTCACACTCCTCTCGTAGGTGGACTGTCTAGCCGACTCACTAAATCACGCCGATTGTTTTAAGTCTCCCCGAATGTTTCCTGCATTTGTGAGGTAGGATGCTCACTTCACCAGAACTGGAAGGCTAAGCCATTCCACACCCCGCCTAAAACGCCCAGTGCGGGGTAGATATGCCCCATGGAAAACGCGACCAGTGCAGCATCCTATGAGAACCGAACGACAAGTTTCGGGGAAAACTTGAACGCTTCGGGCCGGAGAGAGTTTCGCAAGACCCCAATCGCAGCCTCGCACATTCTTCCCAATCCGTCCTTCCGGATATCCCGGTTTGGGTTCTTCTGTCTCAGTTTCGCCCCTCCTCCGAATGTGGAAAAAAAAAACTTCTCAGATTCCCAGTAGAAAGCGAAGCCGCATTCAAAATAAGCTTGGGTTGAGTTGAATCCCGAATCGTCAATCGAAGCTGTTACTTTTTGAAGCCAGGAAGATGTTTGTTCCAGGAACCACGAGCCATCCGCCGGCAGATATGACGATTCCTCACAACGAGCAGTTGATCTTCACTATCATGACGCAGATTCCATTCATCTTTGTGCTGTATAAAGCCTTCAAAAACCTGGCCAAAGGTGACCCAACGTGTCTTCTCTTTGCAATTGGGGGTGTGATTGCCTCCGCGTTGGAGCCCGCCGTGGATGTTATGGGATTCTGCTATTTTCCACGAGAAGGCAACTGGATCGCATTTGAATGGCACGGCCGTCCCATTCCGGTATTTGTGCCAGCAACTTATGGCTGGTTTGTGGGAGGCCAGGGGTATTGGTTTTTGACAGTTCTCCGCAACGAGAGGACAACCCGGCGTGACGTGTGGAAGCTTTGGCTCAGGTCATTTTCTGTGAACTTGGCGCTAGAGTATCCTCCGTTGTATTGGGGGATTTACATCTATTACGGCCACCAACCTTTTTCTATCGGTGGCTTTCCTCTCTGGTTTCCGGCTATTCATGCAGTGTCCCCGATGATGGCGGCTGGCATCGTCTTTATTCTTCGCAACCATTTGAAGGGCTGGAAAAATGTCATGATTCCAGCCATAGTTTCCTCGGCATATGCGATGGCGAATGCTGGGTTGGGGTGGCCTGTTTGGGTAGCACTCAGTCTTGACAATGGGTATCGCACAACCTATGGCGCAGCTATAGCCACAGTCTCCCTTATTGCTACCACCATATGGATCGTCTCATTGGCAGTTCCGGATGCGTTGGGAAGCGCCTCAAAGAGAAAATAACAGAACAACGCGAACATGGGCCGCCAAAGATGAGAGAAGGGTAACAGAAGAGGGAGTATGCTGGGGATGAATCTGTAGGAAATAGAGCATTGGAGATGACGGCAACGAAAGGGGATTAGAGCCAAAATTTGTAGCGAAGAAGGTTTTCATTTGTGGTTCATATCTTGACATAGAAGCTGGAGTAAATATACTGCTGGATGACGGACTTTCAACCCTCCAGACTACTTCTTTAACAAAGCCCCTCTCTCGCTCGCCGTTATTGCTAAAAGTGGCGCATTGCTCTTATCAATAGCCGCCTGCGGAATTGCTGTCCCCTCTGCCATCTTCCCGTCAACCATCCCTGGCGGATCAATATTCCAAGGGGGAATCACTCTTTCCCCAAGCATAGAAATCTCAAACACCGTCCCACTGTCATATTTTGCGTCTTCAATCAATGAGACCATGCTCGCGGCGACTGTATCTGCCGAAATCATTATTTCGTCTGCGATGGAGAACTGATCTTTTGCTTTCGGATTATCAGACCATAGTGGTGTTGCCACGATTCTGGTAGGAAGGTGTTAGCTCTAGCAATTTGGAAGAGAAACAAGAGGATTTACCCAGGACATATAGTGACCACCTTCACACCCTGGTACTTCCCCGTATCAACCATCGACCTAGTGAACCCTACCACGGCATGTTTGCTCGTGGAATAGAGAGGCGCAGAATACTGTCCCGAGTACCCCGCAATCGAAGCAACAATCAGTACAACACCTTTCTTATATTTGCCTAGCAAGGCTCTGATAGCAATCCTAGTTATCTTGATCGGGTGATTGACATTGATTTCCATGATACTGTATTTCTCGGTTTCTGGATCACCCCAGAAATTGGACCATGGCTATGAATTTTAGTTAGCAACTTGCAAAAGCAAAGCTTTAGGGCGGAATTACAGGTTCGAAGACGCCCGCTGCAGCCACATAAATATCAGGCACGTCGCCAAACTGCACTTCTGAGATCTGGATTAGATTCTGGAGTTGGTCCCATTTCGTGACATCGCAGGTTTGGAAGTAGATATTCGGGATGGTAGTCGTAATTCCGATTTTGGTTGCGTCGGAATGGAGACGGAGATCTGCAATGATAACTTTGGCTCCTTGATCGAAAGCGTGCTTGACAAAAGTAAGACCAATTCCTATGAAAGTTAAACATAACTGGTGTAGGAAGTAATTTTATCGAATGGGATAATACCTGATCCGCCGCCGGTGACGACAACGATCTTACCCTTGACGGGAAATTCACCAAAAGAAAAAGACATTTGAGTAACAGAGCGCTCAATTCCTTTAGAAATATTGTGTTTAAATATTTGTTTCGTGCAATTGGGATTTTCGCTTTGGTGGCGGGTAAGCTTGCCAATCAGTTCTGATATATTCTTTGGTAAAGCCGAGCGTCACTCGCCGGGAGACGCTTCTATTCCTACCGAATCTACTAACACGGAGCAAAGCATGGCAAAACATGTATATTAGAGCGCCAGCTCCGGCCGTTTGGGTTGTTAGCCCGGCTGCCCGGGCATCGTCGACTGGCTATCGGGGATCCGGAAGAAAACTCTCACGCGAAAAGCCGCTCAGACTTAACTAGCTAATTCCTTTGAACATCAGTAGAACGACATATATTTCGTCAGAGGCGACTGCATAAAGAGATATCATATATATTGATGCTTCTTTCCTAAGGAAAATTTCGCATTGCCTAATCTCATAATGTCCGGATTCGCATCTCTAGAGCCAGCCCTCACAGCAAGAGTTCGTCCACATTCTTTTCACCTCACCAAATTCACAGCCTTATAACCTTGCAGCTCACGTTCGACCCACCCTTTCCAATCGGCAGCCTCAACAATGGCATCTCTCTCCAGGTGGCACCCATAAACGGCGGTACCGTTAAAAGTGAACACGGATTTTCAGGCCCAGAAGTCGACGCCGAATTCATATTCGGCTCTGATCATGTGCAAGTCGACCCATCCATGAAAAATGTTCGCATAAACGTCAAAGCGGTCCTCAAAAATAAAGATGGCTGTCTCATTCATTATAGCTATACAGGTATCATCGAAATGACGCCAGAAGGATTGGCTATTTTGACAGGATCGCCAGATGCGAAGACCACGCCATTTGGGAAAATCTTTACGCATGTCGATTTTGAGACTGGAGCGGAACACTTGAAGAGCTTGGAGACAAGTAAATTCATTGGCTGCAGTCGTTTCCTGGTTGAGGCGGGAAAACCCGTAGTGGTGGAGTCAAAAATCAGCAAGGTTGTATATAAGTAAGGGGATTAAAGTAAATGGCGGGGAGATAGAAGATTTGACACAAGACAATGCGTAGTTAATTTGTTTGTATGGAATTGGTCCCTTTGTTCATATGTGGTAAACTTTCTTTCCCTGATCATGCAAAGTAAATGCCGATGACATAATTGTACATTCCGAAGTGTATTTCCAATTAATGAACTGCATCAAGAGTATCAACAGGCGCCATAAATCGATGTACCACAAAGAATAAAGCGAAGATAAATAACCAAATCGATAGGAGATAATTATTCAGATAAGAATTTGTTTTCGCACGTAACGCAGCTTCTTCCACCTCAGCATCATCACCCTTCGGCTACGACAGTCAGCCTAGATTGAAGGTTCGCAGTTGTTGGAATTTTGAATTCAGTGTAAAAGCGGCGAGAAAAGAATATGGTGAATACATTTAATTTCAAGGTACCAATTTCTAGGCTCTGCAGTATATTTCTTGCTTCTGCAGAGTGCCCAACATCTTCGAATGGATTGGATGCATCTCTACCAGCCGTATCAAGGAGGACTTCTTCTCCACCACTAGCACAGGATATAAATCAGTGAATTGGGATCCAAAACTATGAAAACATCTTACGGATGATTGACAATAAATTTTGTCACGTCATAGACTTTGCCATTCACAATAAGCCACAAATCATTTTTTGTCTTGTGCCGGTAGACCTCCAACAAAGCAATTTCTCGTGGTGCCATTGGATTTTGTAAGAAACTTTATTGTTTAGAGAGGCTTTGCACCCGACGGAGTTTGTTTCATATACACATTGATTACAAGATGATTCTTCAAAACGATGTCCATTGGACCATCGTTGTATCTCGAAATTTCAGGAGCTCCTTCGGGATCCGTCCTGCATCTTCCTTCGGGGAGTGCGGAACCCGAAACTCCAGACGGCCAACAACTTCGCTTGGTCCGAGTCTTGCTCATATCCGCCGGCCAACCAGCTTTCGTTGAGAAACGGAATATGAACGGCCTCTACGGGAATATCAAACAAATTTCCCCGAAATACAAGAACTGCGCTTGATCGAGGCCAGGGTTCAATAACATACGCCAAGAAAAACAAAAATCTATATCCACCTTCTCAAACATAACTCAAAGAAGACGCTTGAAGAAGCACAGCTCTGATAGAAGAGAAACTGGGTTCGATTTCGAGAGACCAAACCTTCAAAGATAAGATGGCAGCAACACAAGCCCAAGTTGGTGCCCGCCACGTACCTGAGAGTTTGTCTTGATATTGACGTTTAATAGCAAACTGCACAACCCAACGAATCTGATCTCTGGATTCCACAACCTATAGAGGGTGAGGAATGGAATAGCCACACAATCCACACGCATTACTTCGGCTTCTCAATTTCGGAACAAAAGATTGGGGCTTTCGTATATTTACGCTGCCAGACAGTATTCAAGCTCTGCTCCGGTGGTGTCTGCATATATAAGGGACTGGACAACTTGCGACCGCTCGATTGTGAGCATAGTAATTATGTGGTTATAATGCCGTACCCTGAATTCAAGAACAATACAATCGAAACAAAAAATGGCCTCCGCATAGAGTTTCTTGAACTAGGAAAGAAGGTGCAGATACAATACACCAGCAAAGACGGCGAGACATCCTTTGATGTCGTGCAGACAGCAGTAACGCCACTTCTTCCACGTGGCCGCGTCATGCCAGGCGAGGACCTACACACAAAGCCTGAGCAGAAACCGGGAGGAAGTGAGCAATTTATGCATTGCATTGGCAATCTTCGGTTGAATGGAAAGGAATATGCCATTGATTGTTTTCCGGTCCGAGATCGATCATGGAGGCAGACTCGCACCGAAGATGAAGTCGTATATCCACCGGTTGGATGGTCACCAATGAGTTTTGATGGGACATTGAGTTTCAATCAGGTTGGGTACGAAGCACCTGATACGGACCCAATTTGGGAGAACGTTTTCTCAATTGATAAATCGAAACCATCGCATTACTTTGCCTGGGTTGTCGTCGATGGTGTGGCTCGCAACATCATTCGAGTGCGGCGCAACGTGACGAAATACCACCCAGACCTGTTTGCTGCCATAGAACAAGAGATTGAGGCTGAAGATGATGCGGGGAAAGTCTACCACTTTAAAGGCGAAGCAATCGCAATGGCGCAGTTGCCCTCTTGGCCAAACAATATCTTTATAGACAGCGTTTTTCGATGGAGCGATGATGAAGGTCGGGTCACCTATTGTGCGTATCAAGAGGCATGGTATTCACGTTATCAACGATTCCGCCGTGAGAAGCTCACGCTGGAATGATTTGGGAGCTATCGTACTGCTCAGTCGATCACGAACAGCGGGTTTGCGCTTGGCTTGTCATGTGGCGGCATGTTGATGTATTCAGATGACCACCAAAGTCATCCTACAAAAATGCGAGAATGTTAGAAAGGAACCTGTGTTGCTCCTTTTATGATTGATGGTAAGTATGGAATGCGGATGATGAGGGCTTTTCAGCCCAATTGCACTGGGTTCTACATGACTAGGGATAGCTGGCCTGTCACAATCAAAGACTCAATCAAAGAATTTCTGATGGCGTTTATTCAAACGTAAATGCATTATTAATTCGCAATCTCGGAAGTTGACTCTTTATGCGCACTGGATCCACCATGTTTTCTCCAGTTGAGGTGCGGAATATAAAGTTACATTCCCCGGCCGAAGGACGCTGAAACCCGGTCCACAACTCCGTAACTTCACCTCAATTCTTAGATTTGAAAATACCGAATCCCGGGCCTAAAGCGCCGGCATGTAGTAAGCCTGGTTTGCGGGGTACAAGGGTCTTGATTGTGAGATACAAAGAATGATTGCGGGGCATAAGAGGAGTCCTAACACCTAGAAGAGTTTTGACTGAAATCGATACGATCTGCTCTGTGATCGCCCTCGCAATAATGAAGATAAATCCAACCGATCAGTGCCTGTCTCTAATTCTACACACCCTTGACGTTACGGTATTGCCAGAGGTCACATCGGCATCTGCTCGGCGTACAATAGAATTGATCAGTGCCACCCTCGGCGAGCTGCTCAAGAGGCAACAAGAGCCAGCGAGAAACTTCATCGCACAATCCATCGAAGATGGCCTGGAACTGGAAGTAGATTTCCATCGTGTACTCAATTATCCGGTCACTACCGCTCAATCTGGCTTAACGGACAATGCCCCCTTCGAGGCCCTCGCCAATCAATATGATCTGCTGACGGAGCGCTTGAATAAGTTGTGCGTTCAAGCGTCAGCATCCACGTCAAAGAATTCTAGTTATACCGGATTACTTCGTCGTGCCGCTGAGTGGGAGATGGGCTACCTTACTGGGCAGGCAAAACTGACGGCGAGACCGTTCGGCGATGAGTCCTCTGAAACAGAGCCACCAACTCCATTGCCCCCACTTCGAGATTTTCTCGAAGATTTTCTGACAGAACGTCACGGCCCACTCGAGGTGACGGACTTCTCTGAGATACCTGGCGGATTTGGCAAAGAAACATATTTCTATACCGTCAAACACGCAACTGGTTCTATCGAAGAGCTGGTGGTTCGGAAAAGCCAGCCAGTCCCAATGGTGTTACATGGTGGCTTTCTTCTTGAGCGCGAATTTCACCTCCTTCGATCATTGAGCCAGACAGATTATCCAGTTCCGCGACCAATCGACCTCGCCCTCGACTTACCTGGTGTTGAAAGCACCTTCTTCACAATGACGCGGAGACCTGGAAAAGTACTTGGTAGCTTTTTAGATGGTGAAAACCAGAAGTTGCCAGAACCTTTGTTTGGGCAGCTTGCGGAACTCTTGGCCAAGTTACATGCTATTCCATTGGAGACATTCGCGGATTACTTTGCTATGCATAATGAATCAGATGCACTGAACGAAACAATCGAGGCTCGTCACCGCCGCAATCTGAAGGGATGGCGCGAGTACATCAAGCGCGTTGAGCATTTGCCCTCACCTTACATCACCTGGCTCTTCCACTGGCTAGAAAACCATATCCCGGCAGACTCAAGACTCTCGGTCCTTACACATGGCGACTTTAGTGTTCACAACATACTTGCTGAGAATGGGCAAGTCACCGGTGTCCTTGATTGGGAATGTGCGGACTTCGGAGCTCCCGAGCAAGATCTGGCCTACATTAGACCTCACGTTTCCAAACATATGGACTGGGAAAGCTTCGTCGCTCACTACTGTGCAAGTGGTGGGCAAGAGGTCGATGAACGGAACATGCGTTTCTGTCTGGCGTACGGCGTTCTGAGGACTTTTATTGGCGGTACCCGTGGATCGTGGAATCTTCAAAAGGGCTTTAACAGGGATATCCGCTATGTCATGATGGAACTTGGTTTTGCTCCAGCGTTTATGAAAATTGGCCTGGACTACACGGCGGCCGGTGCTTCACAGCCCATAAGAGTGTCCGAGATTCCTCCTGAAGATATCGTACCTGCTGAGTATGGAGCAAGTGTGATTGGCAAGGCTGAAGGGACCGACAAGTTGGCCAGGGACAAAGTAGTTTGTTCTGAAGAAGATTCAGGTGGAAGCGCATCGGCAGAAGTAACAAGGGAAGAAGCGAAACCCAGTTAAATCGAGATCATGGCCGTCTCAGCTGTGTCTATTAATTTTGCCCAGTCTTTTAGGGGATAACATTTTCTCCAGTGGTTACAAGATCAGTTACGGCGTCTGGTTTGCGCTTTTCGTCGTCTGAAGGGGTTTGCGGCCTTTCTAATGGGCAATGGCCTATAATAGGCAACGAGATGAAGCTTCACCATTGTATTTTGATTCTGATACTGAATTAAAAAAAATTATGTCACGTGTGTTATCATTTCGGATGCCGGGTAGTTGTTATCCGGGCTGTACAACCTGGGTATCAAGATTGCTAAAACCTCCCCTCCACTCTGTCAGCAACCGCACGAGCCTGAGCCGCGGTCCTGGCGCAGTGATATTGTACTTTACACAGGCGAAATGCGCTCTCTGAGGAGCATAAATTGGGTGCTCCGGGGAGCTTATATAGGGGTGAAACATGCCCAGGAGCTAAGCCTATGAACACGTGACATTGGCACGCACAGGGCACCAAGGGCAGTGCCATACAACAGTACTCATATGCCTGCTTGTGGAAGAGCAGTTGCGTCAATGCAAGCACCACCCCATCAGAGCTGTAAGGACGAAGCTTGTTCGTTCTTACAGCTAAGCATAAGTGATTGTCCTATGATGCGGACGAGCGTCAATCGTGCATATCCCACAAAGATTCGTTGACCCCCTGTCTGACCATCCTGTTCCCCGCACTTGCCAAGCCACCGCCTTTTAAACCTACAAAACATCTCGATTTCCTTTCTCTACTTCATACGTTCGGTCCCACACCGTACCTCCTCTATTATCCAGATTGATTGCACGCCAAGATAGAACTTTACCTATACGTGACGCTCATGCGCCCCTCAGCACCTCATACGCCGTCTGCGGTTGCCATGAGCATGTCTCCAGCCGCGAGAGAGAGAGGGACTCGATCCGTGGCTTGTAATTATTGCAAGTTAAAGAAGATCAGATGTGCGGGTTCTACTATGGAGATCTAGGTGCAGTCGAAATGTCACTAACTCGTGATGGGCGACATCCATAGGCGACGGGGACCATCCTTGCTCCAATTGTCATGTAAGATACTGTGTTATATTGGACTTCCGTTCTAGCTTCAGAGCTAAATACCATGCCTCACTTATAGTTGCGACAAGAAAATTGCGATTACCCGCCAGTGCGACCGCGACGGATCCGGAGGACATCGATTCAAAATGGCAAGGCATTGGAACAACGGTTGGCTCAGCTGGAGGAACTTCTGCGCTAAAGCCAGAGACGAGATGTCGTGGGGGAGCCGGCTGCAGTACAGTCACTCTGTACACAACGGGAAGAAGATCGGACTGCGTCGTATAGCGGGGTTGGAGAATACCCTTTGGCGGATTTAATGCACACGCCATCCAGTAACGCCTTGTCCCATCACGCTGGAAATGAACAAGACTCCTATTTTGAGTCACCTTGTCAAATCAGCCAATCGATAATCTTGGGAGATGAGGTAACCGGGGAGAACATTTTCGGAATGTGCGACTGCCCGTTTTCCTTGGATAACATCATGCCAGCATTGGAAACCAGTTTTAGCCTCTCCGCTCCTGCACATACTGGAACCTCGAAACCCGCGACCAGCTCTACAGTTAGGCCATCAAGTTCAGATGATGTATTAATAAAGCCCTCATCCTGGACTTCCATCCGTCATAACAAGAGGAGTAGTATCCTAGCTCCAGAATGTGTACGATATCTCCTGTCCCCTGCGAGAAATGTGGCCTGGATGCTAACCACTCTCAGACCGACGATTCTTGCAGTGCGCATTCCACAGGTCTATCATTAATTCTGCAAAACTAATTTTAATAGCGCCAGATCCACTGCTATCAATCTGCTCGCCAGATGGGATCGCCTGGGTTTCTGAACGATGTGCAGCTTCAGACTTTGGAAATTGCGCCAAAATGCTCATGATTGACATTTGTGGCAGACGGAGGCCAGGACCGAAATCACCTGAAGATCGAGAACCAGAACCAGACGAGGCCACCGCGTGGAAATATTGCAAAGGTAAGGTCGTCAATCTGCCTTTCCGTCTTTTCTGTTTAGACTGCTGACACACACATCCAAGCTTACATTGAAGAGACTCTAGAGTCGGTTATGGGGATTGTGCATCGGCCGGCTTTCGAAGCTCGGCTGCGAACGCACTTTATGCAAGGGGCTCTTGCTAATGATGATCCGGGTTGGTATGCTCTTAGAAATGCCGTATACGCTTCAGGATGCAGAGCGGAATACTCCAAAGTCTGCCATTTAGTTGGATTTGAGGAGGCACAGGAACGAGGTTGGAGGTATTTTGAAAATGCTCTTTCAGTTCAGGCGCAACTGCTGTATGGACAAACCGAGATCACCGCGGTGCAAGCCCTAATAGCGATGGTCTGTATCCGCTTCCCGAATAGTGAGCCGCTGCCACTAATGCATAAGTAGTGTTTTTTCACAGAAGGTCTGGGAAACCCAATACTCGAATACCTCCTTTGCTCAAATGCACTGCTGCTGGCCCAAGCGAAAGGGCTTCACCGTCGAAGTACATCTCCCTCTAATGACCCTCAAGAACACCATCGGAATTGGCTTTTCTGGGCTATTTACTGTTATTCGACGCATTTATCGTGTCTTTGGGGTTACACTCCGGTAAGCGTTTCCGCAACAGGTACTTTTGCGGCTAAATGTCTAACAGCGCCCACAGGTTATCAACGACGATTGCATCACATGTGAGGTCCCAACCGTGGCGGGGGAAGGCGGCACTATTAACATCCAGATTTTTACGCATATAATACAACTCTGCCGCATATCATCAACAATCGTTAGAAAGATCACAGCCCTGAAGAATTTGCCCCAAACACCCGAGGAAGCCATCAGTACAATATCCAAGCTCCACTCTCAACTTACGGCATGGCGTGACTCACTCCCCTCTTCTATTCAACCCGATACACCAATCGACCCATCTCAACTTCCCCACGGTTATCATATACACCATCTCATGTTTTTGCACTATACGTACTATGGTAGTGTAATATTTCTTCATTCCACATTCGCATATCCATGGAACGGCTCTCTTGGCTCATGCCAGGATTCAAATGTCAGTGAACAAGTTATTACAAGCACCAATATCATCATTAGTGCGGCGAGAAATATGATACTAGCAACAAGATACATAAACGTTAATGCATCATTGCCTGGTTGGTATGTAGATCCGAGACCCTTATAATATCATCAGACCTTATACTTACTCAAGTTGTGGGAAGGTTACTCCTATAATAGTCGGACTTAACGTCGCGACTAAAGGGGCCCAACCCTTTAGTCGGGGAAAGCGAGTTGTCCCGCACCGATCCCAGAAATTTCCAATTTGTATGGAACACCCATAGTAAAAATTAATTAATTTGATCACCACCAGCCCAAATCACCCTGAAAATCAGTCAAATTCAATAGCAATGGCTCGCCTAAGTAACCTCCCTAACTATGCACTCCTCCGCGATATGCCAGAGAGGGATAAGCTCCGTAAAGCTATTCAATTCCTCAAGGCTAACCCAGAAGAGACTCCCGCGACTGCGGTATGCGCGTATTACGTACGAAATAAAGATATAGTAAAGAAAACATGGCAGAGAGAGAGAAAGAAGATGGGAATAGCGAGAGTATAATAGGGAGGCCAGAACAAGATCCTATATCCTGATTAATACGAGGCATTAATTCAGTATATGGTATCGCATGCGATTAATAGAGGGAAAGGAGCTACGAAGCAAATAATATATAACTGCATAATGTGGATGCGAACAGAGGATAATAAGATAGCTCTATCTTGGAAATGGTTCTCTTAATAGCTAAAGAGTACTCCAGAACTTCATATAATTAAAACGAAGCCTATTACGAGCCACTATATTAATCTCTATACCGAATAGAGCCTATGCGATTAGTTTGAGACTAAATATTATCCGGTATTAGAGGAAACTAGTATATGCTATAGGGATCGGATATATAATATGGACGAGAAAGGAGTACGAATTTGTATACCTATAGGAGAGGAGGTTATTATACCGATTAGAATTAAGGAGATATATACGGGAATACTAGAGAATCGCATGTTTCTTATAATAATTAAGTATATATCTGTAAATAGTAAGGTAATTCCTCCGGTAGTAATTATACCTGGAGTCATAATTATAGTTTCCTGGTTCCACGAAAATATAACCGGCTATGAGGTTATTATAGTCTCTCCTATAGGATATATGAACGAGGGGATCTGTATAGTTTAGCTAGACTATTTTATTAAGTATAATGATTACGGGCCTAATAAGGAGTGGTATATTCTCTTAATTAATAGAGTAACTTGTTACTAAGCAGACGATTTTGTCTTAAAAGCTATATATAATAAGATATGAATCGTATAATTCCCTTTCTACTAAACGTACCTCCTTTAACTATATGATATTGGCGTCTTTAGAAAGTGGAAATACTACTAATAAGTTAATATTATGAATGTAATTTGCTCGTACAAGCCGGAATATAATATTTAGTACTTCTTTCGCAATCTCCCTGGAATACGAGAGAAAATATTTACGGTTCGTATAATTAAATACGCCTTTTAGAACGCAGGAATCTGGCCCGTTAGCTTTAAAGCTATATAAAGGAAGCTCAAGAAATATGGGAAAAAGAGAAGGAAAGATACTAGCTTAGAGAATCTGGAATTTGGATCTGATTCAGATACTAAAGCGGAAGTAGAAAACTTACTAATTCCTATACCTCCTCCTATTCACGAATTAGAAGTAATATACTAATTACCTACTTTCCCAAAACCTCTATTTTCATATAACAAATGCATTCTATGCCTCGATAATCTTAATAATAAGATTCTAGATACTTTAAGCTCTTCCTCTCGCAAAGAGTATATAGTTATAATTAAGGCTACCAAGAATCACCTAATGCTTGGAAGTTTACAAGAGCTAGATACCCAGAACGCTCGCAAGGCACAGGTTAATTATTATAAGGCTAAGCTAAACATATGGCTTAGTTTTCAAAAGAGGGGGTGGATAAACGCTTCTAATGCTCTGGCAAAGAAGAAGATTAAAGTGAGGAAGGTAGTAGAGAAGGAGCTCAAGAAGGCAAAGAAACAGCTTGCAAAGGCCAAATTAGCTGAGAGGGAAGCTATTAAAAGAATCGGAATCGCCGTACGAGCGGCAGAGAGAGAGAGAGAGGAAGAAGAGAGTAAAGGAACTAGAGGCACAAGTAAAGAAGCAGGTTCTTGGAATTAATACGATTATCCCTCCCGAACTCCTAATACTAATTCGTGATCCCCAGAACGAACCTACGGAAAACGAGCTTGAAGCTGTTCGAATTAAGCACTAATTGCTTTATAATAGGATAGCTAAGGAGTAAGCTGAATTCGATCGTATATAAGCGGAGGACCCCGAAATATTTATAGATATTCCTATTAATCCTGTAATACTCGTATCTAAGCAAGCTTACCGAGTAAAGGGAAACCCTCTTAGTTAATTATATATACGGGCAATATTAGAGGGAACTAAGGGATTAAATGGGGAAATGGAGGAGGCAAGAGAGGGTATAAATAGTAGGGTTAGTGGGAAGGAGGTGGATCTGTATTCTTTACTACCTAGATTAGTAATATTAACTGATTTAATAGCTCAAAATGCAGATTTTGTAGTATTAGAGTAATAAGAGATTATATCCTTAATTGCGTATTAATTTAAGGGTTATTTGGTTATATAGTATAATTCAAGTGTCTGCGATCGCATAGAAATTTTGGTGTGGTGCGGGACAACTCGCTTTCCCGGGACAACTCGCTTTCCCCGACTAAAGGGTTGGGCCCCTTTAGTCGCGACGTTAAGTCCGACTATTACTACCCTTTGGTTGGATTCATGAATGCCTTCTTCTATGTCATCAACTTTCCGAACCTTCCATTAACTCAGTCAGACATAGCTCTGATGGATATGATCGTCGGTCATTTTGGGCACTTGGGATTTCTCTCAGCACAGGAGATGGCATTCTCATTCCCTAGAAAAATAGTAATGCTGGCTTCCACGACAGTCAGGAAGGCCCAACAGCAGGCTAGAGTACATAGACCTATGGAGGAGTCTTTACCGGATGTCGAAGGAAGAACTGAGTCTTCTTCCGTGGACTTGTTCAGTGATGTATGTTCCTTAGTGAACATCTCCCCTTTTTCGGTCGAAAATTACTTTTCTTCGCAGCTTTCTATAATATACTAAGCATTTACAGATGATAAATATAGATCGTACCATAGGTGGAATTGGAGCGAGAAATAATCTGTCAGCGGCGTTTTGAATCGCCTGGACTGGAGTCCAACGTCGGGGTGAAACTTGCCATGCGGAGACATTCTAAGTAGTTTTAACTGGGCTGGAATGACTCTTAGCGTAGTACTATGCTAAATACATCAATATCTTCCAACAGCGTCCGTACTTCTTCCGCACATCTCGCCACCGTAGCGCCATCTAGAACTCTATGATCCGCGCTCCAGCTCAAAATCAATTCATCCCTCTCGACCAATTGCTTTACACCCTGCTCATCCTTCTTAAACACTGGCACACCGCTCATTTTCCCAACTCCTAGAATCCCCACCATCGGCGCCACAATCACAGGAGCCACGACGCCGCCGCCGATACTCCCAATATTGCTCACGATAAATGTCGCGCCATTGAAATCATCTGGTGCAAGTTTCCCGCTTTGGCTAGCTTGCTCAATCTGCCAATTTCGCCCGCTAGGGATATTATGGAATGGGTTTGCACGTCTTTGACTACAGGGACTAGCAATCCCTGTGGAGTGTCGACAGCTATACCGAAATTATGGGCTCCTTTGATGATAAGCTGTGGGCTTTCACTATCAAGGTAAGCGTTTAGTGCGGGGAATTTGGCGAATGCTTGAGAGAGCGCTTTCATGATGAATGGAAGCGCAGTGAGTTTTGATGGTAACGTATCAGTCATTTCGAAATTCGTATGGCTGGAGTTATATCGTGTCTTCGCGAGACTGAGTGCTGTGAGATCCACCGTATGCGTGTAGAGGAAATGTGGGATAGTTGCAGACCGCGTCATGGTTTTGAACATCTGGGTTTGTATGGAAGTGAAGCGCGACATTCGGTCCTCTGCTTTAGCAACTACAACTGCAACTGGGGTTGGTTCGTTCTTGAATGGTGTGGATGTAGATGCGGTAGATAGGACATGGCGATCAATGTCTTCTTTGCTCACTCGACCCCCTTTGCCAGATCCCTTGATGTCGGCAATATCGAGGTTTAGTTTATTGAGCAGGTGCCTCACTGCTGGTGTGGCTGTGTTGTTTCTCTTTTGAAGTGACTGAGAGTTCGAGGGAGTTGATAAAATGTCTGGTAGTTCCTCTATAGAATCTTCGAGAACAGGTGAAGCTTGTAGTTCAGTTGTTTCGGAAACGTCGATCTTCGACGACTCTTGTGCTTTCCCTTCCACGCTGCCCTCCCCTGCCACGACAACTTCATCTTCTTCAACATCAATTTCAAGAAGTGGCTTTCGGAAATCAGCTCTCATTCTGTATATAAAAGTCTTTAAAACGTACCTTTCCAACTGCAGCCATGTCGTCTTTACCATAGTGGAGTTCTTTTATGATGCCATCATATCGCGAGGTAATCTTCTCAAGTAGTATTCAGCGTCAATCTAACGAGAAGTTGTGTTATAGGTTGCTGTTGGACCTGTACCTCCACTGATGCTTTGTCCGATTGCACTTCACATAACTTGTCAAATTCCTCAACCCGGTCTCCAGGTCGAACAAACCACTCAACAATCTGACATTCAGTGATCCCTAAATCCGATGAAATTATTCAGTCTCTAGGTTTTAACTTTCTTTCGGATCAATCTGCTCACCTTCACCAATGTCCGCGAGTAAAAGCGGCTTTATCACATTCCTTCTAGCTGAACAATGAAAAAATTGGGAATTTTGGTATCTCGAGCCCGTGACAGCCTTCTTGTACTGCAACCGCATACACGAAGTAAAGTATTGGACGTTGCCGAGTCTTGCATGCTTCATTTTGCCGGTAGCATGTACAGATAGTTATATTGGTGATGCGGAAAGAGAAAATTTATGCAGCATCTGTGAACCTGCCATGAGCCTCGCACATGGCCATCAGTAGGAAATAAGAGATCGGTGGCTTGGTCGACCGAAATTTGTCGGCTATGGGCTTTCCTCTTTTGCTACCTCGGTAGCCTTGATGCAGAAGCAAGGTTGCGGGGGGATTGGTCCGGACGGGTACAAAAGGGTTAAGAGAGATCGAGCTGGTTCCAAGATGCATGAATATGGATTGAGTAGCTAGTTGCGAACTTGAATCCCATAACATCATTAGTATCATCATTGGCTGCGCAGCCGCTTAGTCGGATCAAAGGGATGAGTTCAGTTTCCTCCGGAGTTCGGACTTAGGACTTCCGGCGGGTTTTCCCATCGCAATCTGTGTTCCGTTTATGTTGATAGCTAAGCTTTTCTCCAGGGTGTGTTTGTAAAAATATTCTCAAACAGTCATATAATTTTGTCCCTAATAATTTGTTGCTCCTGAAGCACAGTTTCAACAAGGGAGAAAGTTATCCCGTTGGAGGGGAGCACAGATCACGTGCCCCAGCATTTTCGCTTTCACTAGTATTTTCTACAAATATAGAGACATTACGTTTGACAATTGGCTGGAGGCTAATATATTGAAGACCACCCTGTGAGGAGGAGCTACTTTGAAAAGTTACCAGTCCTAGCCGAACCTGCCCTTGCCGCGGACTTGAGTTACGTGACCTCGCATAACCCAGTCCTTGTGTTTTGTAAGCTTCCCTTCACATCTAGGTCATCTTGGGATTTAACGGGTCCCTCTCCAGCAATGTGAGTCGACTGTACAAGAGCGTCTAAAAATGGCAACCTCGATCCTGCGTCAGTCCAGCTGCTTGTCAATCAATAGAGCTACCACTTTCTCACCGATTTTGCGGAATGGGTCAATCAGATGGAGTACTGCTGCAGCGGTAGTGCTCAGCGCCGAAACAACACAGTTAGTACCTAATCCATCGATTCAACTGTCACAACTCGGAATTAACAGAATCACAGAACGAGATTCCCAGGCGCAGTTGGAAGTCCTATCACCACTACAATGAATTTCGCCCAGCCCTCAAATCTATCTCGAATTCCCACTACAGAGTTATGGATTCTGAAGGTGTCATTCTGGATAAGGACAGGGAAGTTCCGGATGTCACAAATGAGCAGGCTGTTACTTGGTACAAGAATATGTTGACTGGTTCGTACCAAGCACTTATTATATATAGGATTGGGTTGACTGACGATGCATTACAACTAGTCAATATCTTGGATTCAATTATGTATGAGGCGCAACGTCAAGGCCGGTTGAGTTTCTATATGGTATGAACCACTCTGGTCAATCAATCTTGTATCATGTCAATTGGCTCACAGAAAGACACACCTAGGTGTCGGCGGGTGAGGAAGGCGCCACTGTTGATTCTGCTGCAGCACTTGAACCAAGAGATGTAGTTTGTTGTCAATATAGGGAAACGGGTGTTTTCCAACAGCGAGGATTTACTCTCAAGGATTTCATGAGCCAGTTAGTCTCCAATCGCAACGACCCAGGGAAAGGGCGCAACATGCCAGTTCATTACAGCGGGAAGAACAAAGTCGGCGCAGTACGCTCTCTTTCTACCTTTTCTCTCTCTGATATTCTAGTCTCAAATTTGCTAACACCATACGTAACACGTAGCATGCAATAGCATCAACATTAGGCACGCAACTACCCCACGCAACCGGAGTCGCGTTCGCGATGAAGATACAAGCTATAGAAAACCCTACAGACGCTCCGCGAGTGGTGGCGTGCTATTTCGGGGAAGGAGCAGCAAGTGAAGGCGACTTCCACGCTGCCTTAAATATTGCAGCTGTGAAAGGGTGTCCCGTTATCTTCATCTGCCGCAACAACGGCTTCGCGATCTCAACTCCAACATCTGATCAATATAAAGGTGATGGTATTGCTAGTCGCGGTGTCGGATATGGTATCGCAACCCTCCGTGTTGATGGCACTGACATTTTTGCCGTCTATGAAGCCACGAAACAAGCCCGATAGATGGCTGTCTTAGATGGCGGTAGACCCATCCTCCTAGAGCTGATGAGCTACCGTGTGTCTCACCACAGTACGAGTGATGACAGTTTCGCATATCGCACGCGCAGCGAAGTTGAAAGCTGGAAGAGCCACGATAATCCACTCACGCGGCTTCGTAAGTGGTTAGAGAATCAGGATCTTTGGGATGACAAATTGGAAAAAGAGAACCGAACACAAATCAGGAAATCGATTTTGAAGGAGTTTGCCGCGGCGGAGAGAGAGAAGAAGCCAGCACTCGGCGCTATCTTTGACGATGTCTACGAGGTGCTTTCGGAGGAGCAGGAGGCTCAGAAGAAGGAGTTGCGGAGAATCCTACAAAAATACCCGGCGGAATATGATGTGAGCCAATACGAGGGTGGTATTGAGGGACTATAAGTCAAATTTGACTCCGCACAATGTATATACCATTTTGTACGATGATAAATCGCGATAGATCCTGTCTCTAGAAACTAGTTTAAGAAAACTGAAGGTATTCTATTAGGAGTGAGATTTAGGAAATAGCAGCCTAATGATCAAGTACCCCGTGTCGTTCAGAATTATAGGAGAGACACAATGTTTTTCTGGTAAAAGGTAGTGAAAGAATCCGTGTTTTTGAAGTTCTCTTCGATTTTCTTTGATATTCGAGATTAATGGCACAGGATACCTCCTACTGAGACGGAATTTCTGTCAGTTTGCTCGAATGTGGCTTGCACACTTATCCAATTTGTTTTGGTTGAAACTGAGCGCAAACTTCGAAAATTTTGGGGGACGAACACCCAACTCACTATATGCGAAAGGCCTAATTGAGGGATATAATCGATTCAAATGTCTGTTCTCAAATCCGCAATCCAGTTTCAGCTCACAACACAACCGTCATCATCACTTGGCGTATGTTCCAACGGCCCTCCTGCTATTACTCTTATCTTCGGCACAAGAATTAGGAAAACTCCATTCCCCTCAAATGGCCAAAAGTCTTCCATTTTCGGCTTCATTCCCAGCATCCAGCATGAGCGCTACAGATAATTTGATCAGGATGTAAAGTGTCCTTTAGCCCACGCAAGCCCAAGTCTTGTCAACACTGCAGAGTCTAGCTCTTCCTAAGCCCTGCCTCCTTCATTCTACAATATAAACCGTATCCGGTCCGAAAGGTATTGCTCGCGAATCCCCCTCTAGTACATTCTATTCAACCTGATGGCCATTCCTGAGAGTTCATATCCACTCTCTACACCGTGGCCATCCAATTGCTAACCTATTGACGTTTTGTTCTCTGAATTCTTACTACCAGCCATCGGACCCCACTTAGAAAAGCGATATCATGGCCATCAGCCTCTCTCATGCTTCTCTTCTCTGGTCTAGTCCTTTCCGAGATTACTCTCTCCATATTCGGTCCCATTTTAGAATACGGCTGTCGGTGGTTTGCCGCAATTTTCAGTGGCAGAGCCAGTACTGTGGCCCAGATGCGCCGGATACAAGATCCCCTCTTGAACACTTCCGCACGCGGCCGAAGAAGGTGCTTTGAGTTACGGACTTGTTGCGGCCGGCGGGGTGAGAGCTCCAGTACCGGTATACGCTAACGCTCCATGGAGGAAGAAGAGAGTACTAGCGATTGAGGATGGCAGTATTGTGCACAAGGAGTTGAAAGAGCAGCTTCATACTACGGTCAAAGTGGATATTAATGCTAGTTTCTTTCAAATCTCCTTATTTGTAAATTCAAGTCCCACCAGCCAGACCACGATACGGTCTACCAAAAGAACCCCACGGCGGCACATAACAAGCGTGCTCAACGCACACAGCTACGGCCGGATCTTCGATCACCGAGACAACCGAGCAAACGACAACACCCCTTCTCTCACCCGGAGGCACATAGGGCGATTCGCAACCGTACACGGAGAAAATTTCGGAATCCCAGGATCCGAACCGCCAAATCACAGCGCACCTGTGCCAAAAGGAAGCCTGTTTACGGCTGAATTTTCGAACCTCCAGTCTCGGTTTCTATCCCGGGAGGCCGTAAATCCCTGTCGAGGGTGTCCTTGGCTGGGTGAAGGGGTGCCAGGTGAGATCCAGAGCTGTTGGGGAGCTCTAGCTGAATCAGCAATCCTAAAAGATTGAATAATGTTCGTCTTACAAAATATACAATTAAGTACACAACATGGCTCTTATGCCTTGTTCTTTGAGGAAAGCCTTGCGGCCCGCGTATTCGCAAATTCTATTACGCACCTACATTTCAAGCACTTCTGCATCAAAAACACCGCTGCTCAATGTCCCAATTGATTTTGGCCGGACACCTCTCCTTCACCACGTTCAATCAACGTATGTCAATAGTCCGGAGTTGCCACAAGATACACTTACGAGACGGATGAATTTATATCAAGCGGTTAACAATGGTCTTCGAACGGCATTAGATGCTTCGAGCAAAGTCCTGTGTTTTGGAGAAGATGTCGCTTTTGGTGGCGTATTCCGTTGCACCGTTGACCTCCAGAACGATTTTGGGCCAGATAGAGTCTTCAATACTCCTCTAACAGAACAAGGCATTGTTGGGACAGCAATTGGTTTGGCTTCTGAAGGCATGAAACCAGTTGTTGAAATTCAATTCGCCGATTACGTCTTCCCAGCATTTGATCAGATTGTAAATGAGGCATCAAAGTTCCGTTATCGAGAAGGATCTACTGGTGGAAATTGTGGTGGAATGGTAATTAGAATGCCAACGGGTGGTGTTGGACACGGTGCACTGTATTTAACCACGAACACTAATGGATGTCACCATCATGCTGATATAATGGGCACAGATACCACACTCAGTCGCCCGAGGCGCTTTTCTGCCATGTCCCTGGATTCAGAGTCGTCGTTCCCCGCTCCCCCACCCAAGCCAAAGGGCTCCTCATCGCCTCGATTCTCGACTGTAACGACCCAGTAATATTCATGGAGCCCAAAATCCTCTACCGTGCTGCCGTCGAAGAAGTCCCTGTACAGTCATACACTCTTCCAATTGGCAAAGCCGAGATTATAAAGCCGGGAAATGATTTAACTATCATTTCTTATGGCCGACCTCTCTACACATGTGCTGCCGCAATCGAAGCAGCAGAAAGAGACTTCAAAGGTATGAGCATCGAGCTTATTGATCTGCGAACTATATACCCGTGGGATAGACAAACTGTATTGGAAAGTGTCTTGAAAACCGGAAAAGCAATTATCGTACACGAGAGCATGGTGAACTTTGGGGTTGGTGCTGAAGTTGCTGCGACCATTCAAGATAGGGCATTTTTGCACCTCAAGGCTCCGGTGAAACGTCTCGGTGGTTGGACCACTCACACTGGACTAAACTGGGAAAAGTTTATCTTTCCGGATGTAGCAAGTAAGGACACCTGTGCTATCTGTTTGCACCTCTCTCTCTCTGAGAAGTGTCTGCGGGAAATATTAACATCTTTTACTAGGGGTATACGATTCAATTGAAGAGATTCTTGGATATTAATCAAGCCACCTCCAACAATAAAGGCGAAGACAATAAAAAAAATCCAAGTTTGAGTCGCCACTCTTGATCCAGACGTTCTAGGTTGGCAGTGCAGATTTAAGCTCAGTGTAAAATTTTAGTCACATGGGTAGACAGCACTTGCAATGAATCCGTAAATTTTGCATACGATTCTCAAAGAGAATTGCCGCAGAACTTGACTGATGGAATTGCTGATCAATATGGACATCGTGATGCTGTGAAAACTCATTTGTACCGAAACTCTTCCTTGGAGATTGACACTGGATCAATGAATCTACAACAGCGCTGAAGTTATGGTGGATTATGTTTTATTACGTCCCATGGGTATTCAGCATAGAAAAATTAATTATGCTCCTTGTTCAAGTAGGTTCCTAGGTAGTCTGATCTGCGCTTACAAAGACTCGTCATATTATACAAGTTGCTCTACTTTCCTGGGAAAACCTTCTCAAAGAATTCTTCCGTGAAGTTTCCTTTCTCGTCTAGATCACTTTGGGCATCTGCCCATGCCTCTGCAATAATAGAGGCACGCTTTTCGTCCCGTGGTCGGATATCACACCTAGATTCAACTTAGAACCTCTTGGATCAGACCCAGTTGAAGAACAGCTTACAGAAAAGGTGCTGGCTGGACAATGAGGCCTGACGTTATAGCATCGCGATCAATGGGAATCAAGTCTCCAGATGCGTCCTTGCGGCGCGAAAATTGAAAGCCCCAAAGCATTCTAGAGATGGCAATGAACAAACCCCGTTGTGCGACATGAAAGCCCGGACAAACTCGTCTGCCAGCGCCAAATGTGAAGTTGGAACGCTTCGTGGCCTCGGGGTTGATTGAATTGCTTTCAATGGCGGTGAACTCAGCGCTATGGCGGGATGGATCGAAGTCGCGAGGATTCTCGTGGGTTTCGTCGTCGTTGTTAAGAGTCCATACCTAGGCACATGGGAATTCAGCACAGGATTCAAAGCTGACAGAGAGACATTAGTGAGAAACATTCACATACATTCATCATTATAATGGCCCCTTTAGGGATGATATACCCATTGTATACGTCATCTCTTGTGACACAATGCGGTACAGCAGCAGTCAGGGTGGTTGGCATCCCTACAATCTTGGTTAACGATAGAACTGAGACCAAGAAAGATGGATGTACAGCGGAACGACTCCTCGATAATCCCACGAACATAAGGGAGGTTTTCTCGATCCTCCCATTCGGGCATTCTATTAGATCCAACCACTTTGTCAATCTCGAGCTGAGCTTCTTGTTGCACTTTTGGGTAAAGAATCATAGCCTGAGTTGCGTTGTCAGCAGAGGAAAGCTAAGTCTTGGGCAATGAAAAGGACTCTAAACCTTCACAAATCCCAGTGCAGTGTTCCACTGGGTGTCCCTAGCGATGTGTCAGCACCAGGGGTTAACGACATATTAGTAGCTGGGTTTCTTACGTGGCAGCCCCAAACCCATGCGCAGCATTGTTTGCAATTTCTATATCACTCATCCGGTCTTTATCTTCTGCAAGCAACATATCTCGAATGAAGCCTTTCTGTCATTAGTTATGAAGTCATAGATATGACACCACTCTATAGATCAACTGACTTGGGTATACTTTTCCCTTAGCAATGTTTTCTTTGGCAATACCCAAAAGGGAGAAGAAAAGCCTATTTTCAATGGTATTGATCTCAAGGAGCTTCGTCTTGAGTGAACTGAACCGAGCTGGCATGATCCGATACAAAGGTCGCAGGAAATCGTAGAAATCTACCAATTGGAAGTTCTGAGCATCGGATGTTTTTTCCATCCACTATGAACAAAGTCAATGATAGAAGTAAGCGTAGACAGGCCTACATACATCCATCAAATCCTTCACATAACCATTTTCGGCAGTGGATGTTCTCATTCCATAGAGAACAGTGGAAGCCACGCTCGTAGTGTATCGTTGTAGATGATCAACGTATCGGCCTGGGTCATGTAACAAATCATTCATGAGCTGCTTGCTATCGAATACCTATTCCTGTTTTCAGCTGTTGAGCACAAAATGAGCTAGTTCGATGTAGCTCACCTGGTACGGTATGTACTGATTTGCGACTTTCGTGTTGAGACCTCGTAGTTGATCAGAATAATTTTGAATTCATGATCTTAGATAGCACTTACGAAGATGATACATTTTTCTTTGCCGCCTCCAAGTATCATCATTACTGTAGTCACATTAGTACTGATTAGATTCAAACCGTCAAACATCTTACTTTCGGAAAGCGATATTTCGATTTCCCACAAATTCGCGAATATAGGTATCTGGCCTGGCGGAATATATGTTGCTTCTCTTCTCAATCAAGTCCCTTACTACAGTGGCATCGTTTAGGAGTATGAGATTTGTGCCGCCTAACTTCAGTGATACAATAGGACCGTCTGTTCATTGGATGTTAGGACCTAAATAAGACAACAGCCACTAAGCCCCGAAGCAATTACTTACACTGTTTGCTCATTTTGTCAAAAAATAAATGTAGGTCTTTGCTTGGAAGCTGGAGTAAGTTTCCCAGCACTGGTATCGTCGGTGGGCCTGGCGGGAAGTTTGTTGGGCGCGTCCCATACCGAAACACTTTAAATGAGAAAAATGTAGCGAATGACAATGCAACAACCCAGTATAAAGTTTGGACACTCATATTGCTAATCGTGTCGGTGTTCACGTGCGTTTGTGATAACGAGAAGCTTGAGGAACGTTCACGCAAGAGTAATGCCTTCAGGTCGGTGAATCTCCTGAGATTGCCAATCTTGTTACCATTGGATATATTTCGAAACAGTGATATGCATTACTGTGTTTTGCTGCATGTTATTTCCATCATTGCGTTCGGAGTCGGGCGTATCGTTTGCTCCAAATATTTCCCGATGTATCCGGTGAAGAATTGCCTGCCGGACCATGTGCAACCTATGCAAAATTTTGCTCGGTACATATCCCGGGAAAATAGGCCACTCTATTCCGAGATATGCACCCATCTCTAGGTGACGCAAAATCTCCCCGTTTTACCATAGAATATGCGTGTCCTCGGCATCAATTGATCACTGGAAAATTCCATATAATGATTTAGGTTGAATGTCAGAGGAAACGAAAACAGCATTGACGCAGTGATTCAGGTAAATGACTCGGTATCTCAGTCATTCAATGGAGTTTTAGACTCGTAGCACGACAATCACAGTTTTGGAACCACTCGATCTTCATCCTTTGCAGCCTTTTCCAGATCGAAGAATCTCTCGTAAATCACCAGACTTTCTGGATTGACAACAACACTACTTTTCACTTTCCTCCCATTGACGATATTCTTCACCAAAATCTCTAACTTCTTGCCCACGATCGAATAAGGAATCGCATCTACGTAGAACACGTATCTAGGGACGTGCCTCCGAGTCAACTTCTCTCCGATCTCTTCCTTCACTTGGTCTTTAAAAACTTTTGTCTTTTTGACACCAGCTTTTAGCTTGACGAAGAGAAGGACAGATTCATCTCGATCCTGAGGTCGTCGCTGGCCAACGCATACGCTGTCATCGATTTCGGTGAAGTGCCTGATCACGTTGTAGATTTCTGCAGAACCGAACCTTACGCCAGCTGGATTGAGGACTCCGTCTCTGTGTGGCCAATGAGTGAACGCAAATTTAAAGTAACAGGAGATAAAAACTCACGATCTCCCTAGCATCTGTATTCCCCGAGTCCTTTGCCCAATTCGAATCAAGTCACCTTGAACCCACACTGTTGTCCCAAACATGGAAAAGTACGAGTTTTTATACGCACCCTCTCCGCCGTCGCCCCAGAAAGTTATAGGCTGGCTGGGAAAAGGCCGCTTGCACACCAATTCACCTGGTTCTCCTGACTGGATTATTTGTCCGTCAGAATTGAGTACATCGACGGCCATGCCGAGTGTTTTGCTTTGGATCTCATCCGCATGGAGAGGGAGCAGTGGGTTGCCGCAAACAACTTACCACCCAGGGTTAGCATTTCTTTGGGTTTAAAAGAAGAGCATTGACTCACAAGCGCATGAGCAGTCCGTTCCTCCGCTTCCTGATATTAACTGGACGTCCTTCGGAAATCCATGCTTATAAAACCGTACAGCAACATCCATCGGCAGCACAGAGCCAGTGGACGAGACTTTCCGCAAAGATGACAGATCGATATCGGATCTCGGCCTACTCCCACTATCCTTCAAGTCTGTGAGGTACTTGGCAGAGGTTCCAAGAACTGATACCTTCAGTTTTGAGACCAATCTCGGCAGGAAGTTAACGTTGGGATACACCGGAGAGCCACTATATAGGACAATGGTCGAGCCGGTCCCGAGAGCGGAAATGATGAAAGCCCACATGATCCACGCTGTGGTCGTATACTGAAAGAGGATATCACTTGGTAACAGCCCGATATGCAGCTCATAATCTTTCCTAACTTGCAGCAACACGCCGCCTGCGCTATGTAGGATGCATTTGGGAAAGCCGGTGGTTCCAGACGAATAGAAGATGAAGGCTGGCTGGCTAAATGGCAGCTGCAGAAATTCGAGTGGCCGACCAATTGCAAAGGATAGAAATGTGCTGTAATCAATTGATTTCTTGACGGAATTAATTTCTAACATCCGATCTGAAGGCGTGAATATGATATTTATCAATGACTCGTCCTCTGCCAGAACTTTGGCCCAATCACGCACGGTAGGAAGAAGGTCATGCCGCTTTCCATTGTAAATTGTCGAACTGTCCGCGAAGACTACCTTTGGGCGAATTTGGAGCAGTCGATCTAGAATCCCTTTCGCACCAAAGTCTGGAGATATCGAAGACCAAATTCCACCCAATGATAGGGTAGCCAGGCACAGAGAAATTGAATGTTCGGTGTTTGCAATGACTGCTGCGACACGATCGCCTTCTCCGACTTCCAATGACTTTAGAGCATCTGCTCTCTGCTGCACACGGCTGTAGAGTTGCCCCCATGTGATAATATTTGTTTCCCAAGATCCTTCACGAGCCTCAATAAGCGCTGTGGCCGTAGAATTGCGCTGGGATAGAACACTGCCAGCGAAGTTCAGCTTCGCGGAAGGGAAGAATTTCGGACTTGGGAACATCTTTCCGTAATGCTATAGTAGTGTCCTCTCAATTAGTAAACTTGTCCCAGCTACTGACACTCATCAAATACTCACAGGCTCGAAGGCTTTGGTTGGCAAGACTGACGCGCCCAGGTTGAGAAATTCGAACAGCATCATCCAGAAATCCCCTGTTGTTTCTGGATCCACGGACCAATCGTGAAGGTCGTGATAGGTGGTAAAAATACGACCAGTTTTTTTGCTGACCATGTCTCGGAATTGAGCCATTGGAGACTTTGTTAAGTCATCGTGAGATGGTGTCCAGAGAGGAATTGTGTGGCTCTCCATATTTGCAACGAGAGCAAGGCACTCAGTCGTTTCTAATGATTTTCCTGTGAGGTGGCATAATGAGATTATTTTTCATGTTAAAGAAACTCGCTCTGCGGTTGTAAGAGCTTCGCAGCATGAGGTACCTTCCTACCTCGTGTACTTTCGGCCTCCCGGGATTCTTTTCGTTCGGCCCGAAATGCCGCACGGGGATCCACACGTATTCACGCCCCTTCACGGCCGGTGGACCATCTTCGCTGGGAGATGCACTGGGGCCGCAATTGGTGCTCGGTGCCCATTGAGATGTTTGAAGAACTTCCTGTACAGGCTGAAGAATAAGAATCGGCCTGGTAAATAGCATATTCCTCATTTGACTTATCTGGGGCAAATTTACAGCCAGTTTTTGGGAAATCTGCTGAGTAGCTACCGTCGATTATCGCTCACCCCTCTACCTCCTGCCTCCGTCATGGTGGAAACTGTTAGTGCAATTGTCGTTGGCGCGGGTTTTGGTGGTCTGGCTACAGCTATTGAACTGAGACGAAAAGGGTGCAAAGTCAAAGTCTTTGAAGCGGTCAAAAATTTGGATAATAAAGGTTCGTTATTTTGGTTTCACTTTCAGACTTTCTAGTTTGGTGTGCTGATCATGGTCTCCTTCTAGGAGATGTGATTATGGTTGGGTCCAACGCGACTCGGATCATGGAGAAATGGGGTCCAGTGCTTCCCGGGGTGGAAGAGTTAGCAGCTCAGCCAGATACCATGCGTATTCAAGATCAGAATGGGAAAATCCTCTTCAACCAACCGCTGCCTGCAGACTATGAAGGCTGTCCAAATTTTTACGCAAACCGCGGCCGGACTCAAAGATCGATGTATGAGTATGCTGTATCCTTGGGAGTTGAGTTTGTGTTTGATGCACGCATCTCCGAATTCCTCGAAACCGAAACGTCCGCTGGGGTGATTTTGAATGGCAAGAAATACGAAGCGGACTTCGTTATCGGAGCGGACGGTGTCCACAGCAAGGCGAGGGCTGTCGTGACAAAAAAACAAGAAAAACCTCAGAAAAGCGGCTTCGCAGTGTATCGCTCATGGTTCCAACTGGAAGGCCTGCGCGAAAACCCAAAAACCGAATGGATCGCAGCATCTGAGAAAGACTTGCTCTTAGTTTGGATAGGCAAAGACACACACGCTATTGTCACCACTAATACCAAGATGAAGAGCATCACTTGCTTTGCGACTCACAAGGATGATTCAAATATCGAAGAGTCATGGAACTTACCTGGAAAAATTGAAGACATGCTCGCGGCGGTCGAAGGCTGGGATCAAGTTCTGCTTGAAGTTATCAAACAGATTCCACCTGAGGTACTGATTGACTGGAAACTGCTGTGGAGAAATCCAGTTAAGCAGTGGGTGTCGGAAGGAGGGCGACTTGCTCTGGTTGGGGATGCTGCGCATCCACATCTCGCAACTTCAGGAACTGGTGGTGCTCAAGCTATTGAAGATGGAGCCACAATTGGTGCCTTGATTGATATCAATGGGAAAGCAAATATTCCCCTCGCATTGAGAGCTTACGAAAAACTTCGGTAAGTCTCGCGCCTTCATATCATGCTTTACACCAGAGGATGCTAACGTTCTGCGGACAGTTTTGAAAGAACAGCTCTGACACAACGCATGGGCTGGGAAACCCGTCACCGCTGGCGTCAGACTGATTGGGAAATGATCGCGTCTAATCCCGAGTTTCTGAAGCTCCCGCAACCAACTTGGCTGAATGCCGCAGATGCTGAAAAATATGCGTATGACAACTTTGAAGCTGTGAAGTCCAATTTGGAGACAGGAAGTCCCTTCAAGTCTACTAATATCCCTGAAGATCATGTCCATGTTGATTGGACGATCGAGGATATGATGGCGCGGGAGGGGGAGCAGGTCGGTGTTGAGTTCTATCAGGTTCAGGATTAGTGATCGCCTCGCAAGTATTTCATAGCACCTAGCAAAATTGAAGACATGATTTTGAGAGGAGGAAGAGAAAATCATCTTATAGCGGTAGCTCGAGAAACTATTTAGGCTGAGGCCCATATATATGAATTTAACTTAACTAGCCAGAGAGGTAATTCTGGGAGTTCTAAGCCTTATATAAAGCAAGTATACTTTTTCTCTTTTTATAGTAAAGCTATTTATATATATAAATTTTTTTTTAATAAATTATTATAACTTTTAATTATATTTATAAGTTTATATTAATTTAATTATAAATATATAAAGACTTATAGTTCTAAAACTTTTTATTTAAATAAATAGCTTTTTAGTTTATATATTAAATTTAATATTTATTTAATATATATAAAATATTATAAAAGCTTTTTTTTTAAAAAAACAAAAAGAAAAATATTAATTTATAAGCTTTATTTATAGTTTTTATTGAATTCTGATTTATATATATAAAGTTCTTTTTTTATAAGCTTTTTTAAACTTTAGTTATATTAATAATTCTTTTTTTAATTTTTAATATTATTTATAAAACTTATATATAAAAAGTATTTATATAATAATTAATAATTTTAAATTAAAACTATTTTTAAAAAATGAAATTTGAATCTAAGCTTTATAAAATATTTAAATTATAATAATTAATTCATTTCTATTATAATATATAAATATTAAATATTAAATATTAAATAAATAAATTAATTTTTTATAAAATTTTAAATAATAGCTAGTAATGATTTTATTATAATTTAAAGTTCTTTTAATCTTTATTTATATATATATTTATATATATTTTATATATATTTTATAAAAATTCTTTTAGTTTAATATTTATTTATATAATATTAATTTTTTATAAATTATTATTATTTTTAATTATATAAATATATAGTTATATTTATAAGTTTTTTTAAATTCTTTTTTAAATTATATATTTGTTTTATTTTTAGAAGCTATTTCAAGTTTTATTATTACTTATAAAACTTTTAATTATATTTATAAAATAGCTTTTTTTTTAATAATTTTCTTTAATAAATATAATAAATTATATTTATAATTAAAAGATCTTTTATTAAAATTATTAAAATTATATTTTATATATAAATATAATATTATTATAGAACTATAAAATTTTATTTATTTAAATTAGTAAAATAGTTATTATTTGGAAATAAGAATTATAATACTATAATATTAATATATAAGTTCTAAATTTATTAAGTCTAATAAAAACTAATTACTAGTTAAATTATTTATAAAATATAAAGTTATATAATTATATTTTATATTTTATATTTTATATTTTATATTTTATATTTTATATTTTATATTTTATTATTTATATTTCGTTTTTCGAATCTTATAACTATATATATAACTTTTAAAGAAATAATTATATTAATATTAGAACTTTTCTAAAAACGTAAAAAATAATATTAATTCTCTAATCCGGTCTAGTATTATATATTTAGATATCCAGATATTTTTACTAAAAAAATCTCTATATATATTCCTTGTTTTATATATTTTTATTTTATTTTATTTATATTTGATTTATTTCTTTATATCTAATTATATAATATTTATATTAATAAAATATTTAAGAATATTTAATAGCTTTAATTTTATTATAGAATTAATAGAATTCGAAAATAAAACTTTATAATATAATATTTTAAAATATCTAAAATATCTAAAATATTATATTATAAATAATAAAATAATTAGTAAAATTATAAAAATAGATTTCTAGTTTATTTATATTAGTTAAGCTAAATAAAAATAAATTTTTTATAAATATAATATAAAATTATATTTATTTAATTAGTATTCTTATTATTATAAATCTAATAAAAAATATAAATCTAATATTAAACTAGATATTAATTTAATCTTTAATAATTTTATTAAATTTAATATTATTATTAGTTAATTATAAAGCTTGGAATTAATTAAAACTAGTAATTAAAAATCTAGAAATTCTAGTATTAATTATAATTTTATAAAAGTAATAGATATTATATTTAGAAATATTATTTATTATAAAAAGATTTAAATATTTTTTATAGCTACTTCTATTAATAATTTCTTAAATTTCAAGATATAGTTTTTATTTATTAATTAATATAAAAGAAAAAGAAAACTAAGATTATTTATAAGAATATTAATTATAATTATTAATATAATAAAAGTAGCTAAAAGGCTTTTAATTAAAATAAAATACAAATCTAAATATTAATTCTCTATTTCGTTTATTAATATTAAAAAAGCCTTAAAAATATAATTATTTTTATTATTTTTATTATTAGTTATAAATAGCTATTACTAAACTCTTTATTAAATTAATAAAGATTTCGGATTTTAAATTAAGCTTATTTAGTTTTTTTCTCTTTAATATATATTTCTAAAAATAGTATTTGGGTTTTTTATATATAAAATATAATTTATTTAAATAGTTATTATAATTACAGTATTTATAATTATTTAAATAGCTATTTAAAGTACTATAATTATAACTAGAATTATATTAATAATTTTAAATAAATAATTATTTAGCTATTTTTTAAAATAATATTATTAATTAGTAAAAAGAATTTTAATATTAATTTATTACTTTTTTTTATAAATAATAATAAATAATTAGAACTTATTAATAAATTAACTAAGATTAGAAAAAGAATTCGAAATTATATATTAATATATTAATATATTTTAATAAAAAATAATAATTTTATTATATAAAGATTCGCTATTTTCTAAAGCAGATATTAAATTATTATAATTATTATAATAATAGTATTTTATTTATTTAAATTTCAATATTAGAAACTAAAGCTTTTAAAAAAGCTATAAATATTTATATAGGTCTTATTATATATATATTAAAAGAGCTAGTTATTATAAAAGTAATTTTATATTAATTTCTTTATTATAATAGAAAAAGCTCTTATTAATATCTTTAATAAATTTTTTATATATTAGTAAATATTAAGGAAAATAATAAGTTTTTAATTAAAATTATTATTAATTCTATTATATTTTTATATTTTATTATATATTTTTATTATTTTTCTAATTAATTTAATATATTAATTTCTTATAATACTATTATTAAAAAATATATATAATAAAGTAATAAATCTTATTTAAAAGTTTTATCTAATAATAATAATAATATTAATAGTTTAAATATATATATTTTTTTCTAAATAATATTAATTAAGAATTATATAATTATATTTAATATAAATACTATTATATTATAATATAATTTATAATTAATATAATTCTTATTAGTTTAATTTATGAAATATTTTAAATTTAAATTTATTAAAAACTTTTTTAAATAATTCTTAAAAATTCTTATTAATTAACTTCTTTATTTTATATTAAAATCTTTTAATATTAAAATAATCTAGAATTTTCTTATAATTAGAACTAGTTAAATTAATATTATTTTTCTATTTCTTTATTTATTTATATTTATTTTATAGATTTATTATATTAAATCTTTAGGATTAAACTTTTTCTAATATATATATATAATTTAAAATAAAAAAAGTTTAAAAGAAAAATAGTTTATAAAAAGAATTTAGTAATAAAAGTATTTAGATATCTAGATATTTAGATATTTAAATAACTAGATATTTAATAAAAATATTAAAATAAATATTTTACTTTTAAAATTTTTATTTATAAAAAGAAATTTAGGAAATAAATTATTATAATTCCGGAAGAGTTTAAAGCTTAAGAAACTTGATTTAATTATAAAATCGAAGTTATAATTAAAGAGTTTTAAGAATATATATAAAATATATATTTTAAAAAAAGAATTTTATAAATATAAATATTATATAAAAAAGAATTATTTTTAAAAAAGTAGTTTTAAAACTAAAAGAAATTAATTTTAAAAAATAATAAAAGTTAAATAAATAAATAAATAAATAAATAAATAAATAAATAAATAAATAAATAAATAAATAAATAAATAAATAAATAAATAAATAAATAAATAAATAATAAATAAATAAATAAATAAATAAATAAATAAATAAATAAATAAATAAATAAATAAATAAATAAATAAATAAATAAATAAATAAATAAATAACTAATTATTTATTAATTAATAAAAACTAATTCTTTTTAAACTATTAAATACTTTTTTATAAAATTAATATTATTAAAAGCTATTAAATACTTCTTTTAATATAATTATTTTATTTCTAATTTATAAATATTAATTAATTAATATTAGTTTATTAGAAATATATAATATAATATATAATATATAAATTAATAAAATAGATAATATTTAGAAATAAGAATTATAGTATTATAGTATTAATATATAATTATAAAATCTATTAAGTTTAATAGAAACTAGTTATTAATTAAATTATTTATAAAATATAATATTATATAAGTATATTATTATTATTATTATTATTATTATTATTATTATTATTATTATTATTATTATTATTATTATTATTAGATTTATATATTAGTATAAAAGTTTTAAAAACAAAAATATAATAAATCTAATAATAATTTTAATTATAAATTTATTATTTTTCTTCATATTTACTAATATATAAAGCTTTTTTTATTATATTAAAAGAACTAGTATAAGATTACTTTTATAATAATTAGTTCTCGAACTATATATATAAAAAAGCTTTAGTTTTTATTATTAAAATTTAGATAAATAAAATATTATTACTTTAATAATTATAATAATAAAAGATTCTAAAAAAATAATATTCGAGCTTATTTAAATACTAATTAATAATTTATATAAATTATAATATAGTTTTGTTTTTATTTTATAAAATACTAAATTCTTATATAATAAAATTATTATATTTTATTAAGGTTTACTAATATATTAATATATAGTTTCGGACTTTTCTAATAAACTCTAATTATTTATTATTATTTATAAGAAAAAGTAATAGATTAATATTAAA